CCAGACCCAACCGACTCGGAAGGACCACAGCTGGAGGACCCCCAGAGTGAGGCACAACTGAGGCAAGCCTAGAGTCTGTTGAAGGCATTCCCTAAAATCTTCACGGCGCAGGTAGGACAGGCCACACTCGTCCAGCATAGCATATTGACGAACCCAGGAGAAGTCGTGCAAGAGACCACAAGGCCATTGTTGAGCAGTAAGTCCAGACCACGCTGGAACTAGGCGTTCTAACCCTTGCTCAACCCTTCTCGAGCCCCTAGACTGTGTGGGGGCTCATCCGTATCTGACCCACGAGACTGCATGTTTGCTGGCTGCCTTGGCCTGGAGGCTAAGGCCATAGGCTGCTATCAGCTCGGCCCTGCCCCAAGGGCTAGGGCCCCAGACTATTAATTGCTGTCAGCCCCAGTTAAGGGGCTGTGAGCTAGAGACTACGCAGGGCGCTGCCCTGCCCAAAGGTGGAGACAAGAGCCCAGACTATTGTTTGTTTGCCTCTGTTAGACAGGCCCAGAACCATAGACTGCCTCCAGCTCATCCCGGCCAGTGCGACCTGAGCCCAAGGACGACCACCCAGTACAATGAGGGAGAGTGGCCTACCTCCCCACTGGAGAGCAAGGGAGCATTATACACCTATTATGGAAATTGAAATCCTGCTTTCCTATTGGTCTCTTATAGGTTACAAAATTGCTTGTACTCTAAACAGAAAAGTATGTTGATGGCACCATATAGTTCAATATTTAGCTGTTCAATGTACGAAAAGGATGAGGGACATGATTCTCTTCTTGCTTACAGCAGTGTAAACTTAATTGAACCAACCCTTGGATATGCTGGGACAATGCTTGGTACCCAGGAGAAAGGGGCACTGATGGTTTCTGTGGTTTTTTAATGCAAAATGATGCTAGTCCAGGCTCACTTGAACTATAAATTGTCCCTTAGCAAATCTTTAGGTGAACCCTATCTGAGGTTTCAACCTTGTAACAAAACCTTAAACTAATCAGACATCATCTGTTTCCTACAAAAAGTGTTCACAACAAAGCAAGGAATGCTTTAGATGCAAACCTTTGAATTTTGAACCACTATGGAGCTTCTAGCCATGCAAGTGTCATGCATTGGGCATGACACTCATATCTGCAGCCTACCGCAACCCATATGCACTCCTGAGGCCTTGCCTGTGTCTCCGGTGTCCAGCAGTCATTGAGCAGGGTTTCCTCTGCAGAAAGTCCTCCCAACCATCAGCGCTGCTCTGGTGCCAAACTTGAAGGTAGCTGCTCTACCCCGCTCAGATTGCTCTCTGTTCCCCAAGCCAGTTTGCAGGCAGCTAGGAGGATGCAACAACGGAGCAGATGGCTGTGTTTTTCCTGTCCAGGCACTGAGTGCTTGTCCTGAACAACTGCACTACTTTTAATTACGCATGGTATAATGCCGTAGCCAGAGCCCTGCTGTCCGCAGCATTCTGCCATTCCCTGATCTGTCTGCTGGCCTGAGCGCCCCAGCTTCTAGGGGGGGAATGACCTTTGATCTCTGTAACCACACCCTGGTTTTGTTCTACAAGGGTGGCTGGGGCAGTGAGGGCCCAATGTGGGGAATGGAATGAGAACAGAAACTAACAGAGGGGACAAGGGTTGTATGGTGGGACAGGACTGGGATGGAGTTGAATTGTGTGGGCACAAGCACATAAGTAGCTGAGCTGAAAGAGGCTAATGGGGAGCAGGGATGTGATAGCCCAGCAATCTTACCCAGCCTAAACAACTCTCCCTTGTTTCCTAACCCACCCTGAACAATCTCTTACCTCCAGGCGGTCAGTCTAACACCCAACAACCTCTCTGGTAACGCCCCAAATTCTCTCATATTCATAAGTTCCCTCCATGGTGATTCAGGTCACCCTGACTCTTGTCAAGCTTAGCTACTGCCCTTTTAAGTCTCCACCATTTACTGGTCTCTAGAAGCCTGGACAGAAAGCTCTGCTGTGCTGCCTATGCTGTTTTGTGTTTATAAATGGTGATGTTTAAGCCATGGGCAAGGAATGTAACTAGAAAGGTTTGTTTGTTTGTTTGTTTTGTGGGAATGGTGTTGTGATTGCACAAAACCCTTTGAAAAATAAACCTGAAACCCCAAAGGTTTTTTTGCAATTGACATGGGCTTCCTATCAAAAATTTTCTCTCCAGCTGGCCCTGTCATGGACTCCCATTCATTTCAGTGTATGTTGCTCTAGCCACAAGCTAATGCAGGTTCCATTTTATGACTACGTAAATGCAACTTTTACTAGCTTTGATAATAAAAGAGAGGAGGAAACAGAGGAAATAAGAGGATCAGACTTGGTTGGGGTTAGGTACATTAATGAAATATGCAGCATAAGAAGAAGGTGCATTTCTGCTTCCACACTTCATCCTGCAGAGAACTAGTTACTTACACCTTTTGAGAGAAGCTGAGAGAAGAGGAAGAGGTTGGTTATGACTCTCCAGTTTTTCATGCAGACTGCATGAACTAAGCTAGGCAATATGGGAAGACTCTGTTCCAAGTAGTGCTATTTGGCAACTTCACACATCGTTTTGGGTCTATTGAGACTGCATTTTTTTTTCCATTTAAACTGTTCATCCTAAAAATATCATCCAGCTCTAATTCTGATTCCTTTAGAAGATTCCAGCCTGCGGGCAGAAGGGTAGTAAAGGTAGATATGCAGGTTGCCTTATTGGTTCTGTGGGATGGGACACGAACACAATAATCTGCTTTGATGCTTGGCAAATACATAGGCTGAGTCTCCTGATTCCATGCACAGTTCCAGTAATTGGAACAATTTCTCTGCTGACAAATTTTCTTTTCACCGGAATAAAAAGCTTCACAGAAACCTCCATGAAGGAGTAGATTATGGTGACAAAAAGCAAGAGAATCTCAAGCACGAGATTCATTGTTTCAGCTACAGACTCCTTGCAATATTGTCCTCCAACTGGCAGTCTAAAATACTGTGAGTGGCTTGCTTGAATAAGAGAGAGAATTGTTACCTGAAGCCAGTAATCACAAGGTCATTATGTGCACAAAACTCTGGTGCATCTTGAGGATTCTAAAATGAGCATACTGAAAAACAAATCTTGTTCTCAGACCAGAGGGTGTTTACCATGTGTCTTGCTTGGAACTGGCTCCTTTGAATGATCCTGGTTACTGTTTGTTTATTATTTGTGTTACCAGTGCACGAGCACTCCGTTGTTCTAGGAGTTGTGTAAACACAGAACGAAAAGAGAGTCCGTGCACCAAAAAGCTTACAATCTAAATATAAGACAACAGATTAAGACAGACAGACCAATGGGGGAGTACAGGGAAGCAATGAGATAATATTGGTCAGCTTGATTGATTGTGGTCTCAGTGTACCACCAGCCTAACCATTACGTTTTTTGTAGGTTAAACAACAGATGAGAGTTTTGCAGGAAGATAGTGAATTAGTTTTATGGATGTTTATGGGGAGTTTCTGCCAAGTGTGAGGGAAAGCACAGGAGAAAGCATGGAGGTGCCTGTTTGAAAATTTAACAAGTGGGCGATGGAGACTGGCATCATGGGTTGATCAGAGGTGGGAGTTGACACTTTGTTAGCAAATGAGGGATGGCGGGTACAGTGGAGATAGGTCGTGAAGGGCTGTGAAGTGAACACAAGTGGCTTATGTTTGGTATAATCGAGAAGAGGGAGCCAGTGGATGGATATGATGGAGATGTGGCGTGGGGACTGATCTATGGGAGAGTTGATGGCTCTCTTTCAAGAAAGGCAGGTACCAAAGCTGGAATGAGTGAATAGAGAGACTTTGGTCTTATTTAGCTAAGCCAATGCATTCTAGCAGGTGTTTGAAGTAATATTCCCTGTGGAGAATCAGAATGGAAATGTGAAACCCATATGTAGGAGGAAGAGACAGTATAAGGAAATCTGCCATGGCATATACTCCAGGTAACTGATAGGATGACAGTCTGACTTGTGTGTATCTTTCGCAGAAGGAGGCGGTTTGGCCACTTTCAAATTCATGCACAGGAATCAAAGACAGATGTCACTTATGAGGCAGCCGAAGTACAGTAAGATGAGGAATGTAGATGGAAGGTATCAGAAAATGGTGACTTTGGCTTATGGGCAGGTAGGCCCTGAACTGCCTTGGTTAGAAGGAATGATAAAACCACTTTGTCTAGTCTGATTCCCGAGGCTTGAGAGTCTGAGCTGCAACATCCACACTGCTATTTTTAGCGTGCTGGCTTGAGCCCCGCTAACAGGAGTCTATCTGTGCTGAGATGCTGGCTCCCAGCTACAGTGTAGACATACTCCAAAGGAGCCTTCTAACAGAGAGGGGAAAATACAGCGCTTTTGCTCACAGGGTTCTCAAAGCCCTTTAAGACATTACTTAATTACGTTTCTCCATGCTCCTTGGAGGTAGGTAAACATCCATTTTAAAGGTGAGTGACTGCTTAACAGATGAGTAAACTGTCCTTTGCATTTTCAGCCTATGCTAAGCTCACCTTGGCCACAGTCCACACTCAGAGCCTGTCTTTGTCACATACATTAGCACTATGAATATCTGTGGCACTATAATTAATAGTAGTTCTTTGTGAGTAGCTACAGAATGCCTCATTCAGAAGCACTGAAGAAATAGACAACATTAATACTTACCAGCATACACACAAACAGCAATACCCATTTTAGTGAGAAACTTTACAGGATGGATTCTTCATGAATTCCACTCCGTCTACAGGCCAGAGCTACTTCATATCAGCCCTGTTGTCCCATGTTCATTGGTACTGTCTAGATTTCTGAGGAACTGTTTCAACTGGGAAGCCATTGTTTTGTCCCACAGAACCCAGACGCATGCTTGTATGTCAGCCCCTGAGTAAATCAACTGTCTGGACTTAACTTCTATCTAAATCTAAAACCATGAACCTCAACCTCTGAAGCTTAAGGATTAGGTCCATAAAGTTCTTTGCTCCAACCACTGGACTGAGACAAAGAGTCATGCTTTGACAGTGTGAGTTACACCTGAATTATGATTTATTTTTTTTAGCCAAGTGTTCGGCTCTATATAAGAAACAAAGATAAGAGTCTCTGTTACAAAAGCTAACAGTGAAACATCAAAATGTGTGTGATCTGAGGCAGTACAGTGCCAGATTTCTCATTTTTCCCCTCTACACGAGTGTGTGGCTGAAATCATTCATGGACTCAATGGCTGTTTGTAGCTGACTTCCTAGTTTGCATGCACACAACTGATTCTTACTGAAATCTGATATGTAACATGATCTCAGCAATGATCTCACAGCTGCTCCATCTGATGCAGAGAGGAATTCTGGCCTCACAGTAGCATCCTCTTCCCCAGGAGCTCCTTTGAGTCTCTATACAGTTCTCAAGGAAACATGGAATACTCCTGAGACAATACTTCCTTCTTTTGATGGGAGAGGATGGAAGCAGAGAGGAAGAGGAGTAGACAGTGATAAGGAGTGGCAAGGTACATGTACAGCATGGCCTCAGTGATTCATAACTTTGTCACTTCTCCACTGGACTACAGCAATGTGATATACCAACCTGGGCATGAAGCCTTTCGTGCTTAGGAAACTCCAACTAATACAAAACACTTCATTGCATCTCTTCAGCAACACAGGCTACTGTGAGCACATCAAACCTGTCCTTTGCTCTCTACACTGACCTCCCATAGAATTTTGAACTAAGTCCAAAGTCTCAGTTCTTATCTTCAAGGTGCTTCACGGCTTGAGCCCAGGATATGTAAACAACTACATTCCTCAGCACAATGGACCCCTCTACAATAAGGGCAAAGTTTGTCCATCCAGGAGACAGAACTTTCTTTGGGGCTGGTCTGGTCTGAGCCTGTGAAGTGAACTCCCCCCAGGAAGTATGCCACTGCATACCTCACCGCTGTTTGCTCCAAGACCAAGGCACATTTCTTTAACCTTGCCTTCTCTAACATAAACATATAGCCACATCCATAGTTTAAAAAAAATTCCCCCTTCCTCCAGCTAAAAAAACCCACAACCCTCTCTCAAAACAAGACACTCTAGTACATGTGCTTCTCCCCCAGGGGACAGGATGAAAGAACAAACAACATGTGGCAGTCATGTTACTTAATGCATGACTTAGGTGCTCAGATACTATGGTAATGAGTGTGGTATAAGAACCTTTACAGAATAGATAGGATCACCATGATATCTGGGTGCCAACAAAATTAAGCAACATTCAGTCTGAAGGACTGCATTTTCCACTGCTCCCGCATAGTCTGTGTCGTGCACACATGGATTTGTGTATGTGTCTATTTTATTTATTTATTTAGCTTTACAATGATAAAAAGATTTCTACCTAAAGCTCTTGGCACCCTAACATATTCAGTTAATTACACAACACTAGCAAATCCCAGAAGCATTAAAATAATCATTGTAACAGGAACTCAGACAGCCAGGCACCTACAGAAATTCACTGATGTTCAGAGCAGTGTTGCTGGGACTTTATCAAGTGTCACTGTGGTAGGAAGGCAGCTGGAAAGTGATGGGTCTTCCATTTTTTCTCTGAATGAATCAAAACATTGAATAATTGATCTGAACTCAAAACATGAACCATCTGCAGCTGCAGCCTGTGCGGTTTGAGGGGGAGGGCGATGACCTAATCACTTATGACCCTGTTTTTGTATCCAACAACTGCATCAAATTGAGTATTCTGCAGTTTGTACACTGCTGCCATGACACGCTCTGGAAGAATGCTGGAAGAGAGATTGAAACATTAAATTGAAATAATGATGAGAGACTTTAAAAGAATTAAGTAGCCCAAAGATATGTTATTCCTAGAGTGCAGCCCCATTCCACCACAATCTGCCTCCCTTCATGGGGATTCCAAGGGCCTGTGCAGCATTCCATGGTGACATGGCTCCGTTGCTGGAGGCTCAGGGATGCTCTTGTGCTTCTGCTCAAGGATTTGTATACTGGATGCACTCTTTCTCCCACAGGGGAGCAAACCCTCACACCCTGTTGTTATGTTTTGGTGGCAGCTCCGTGAAGATTGTCCGGTGAAGTTTCCTCCCTCTAGCGTTCCTCCCATGGATTTTTGCATGTCTGGTTACTATTGGGCCCCAAGAAAATAAGGTAAGTAATTTCATTTTTAAAAATTCTTGATTTAGGCTCTCTCAGTGGCTGTTAGTGGCTCTGGTGGGACCCTAAACCCTGAATCTCTAGCCTTCAGAAGCTTTGAGCTTATGTGACTGATCTTATAAGCCACCTTTGAAACTTATCTAATAATAACCTTTTCTGTACAGTTGCCAAAAATTTGTAACTCTGTCTGTCCCCACTGCTGCATGCACATTTTAGCCATGTTAGCTCTCTTATTACTCAATATAATGAGGGCTTTTAGCTCATAAATCTAAAATAGTAAAAATGAGCCAACATTCTAGTCCTTTTTGGAACGGTACTAATCACAGCACATTAGTGAACCGTTAATGCACTTCAGCAGGGTCCACGTAGACAGTCTGCAGCAGGGTAGTGTCACACCCTAACAAAAAGTTAGGATTTCTCAGATCAAATGTTTGTGAACACATCTAGCCAAAAGAAACCATATTCTCCTGAGACTAAGGACTGGTCTACACTGAAAAATAACATCAGCATAGCTAAGTCTTTCAGGAGTGTGAAAAATCTGCACCCGAGACACACTGTTAAGCTGACCTAAACTTGAGGGTAGACAGCACTAAGTTGACAGAAGAATTCTTCCATCAACTTAGATATCACCGCTTGGGGAGGTGGATTATCTATGCCAATGGGAGAACCTCTCCCCTCACTGTAATAAGTGTCTACACGTAAGTGCTACAATGGCAGCGGTGCGACTGTGGCATTTTAAAAGTAGACGTAGCCAAAGACCTTTTCTGTGGGGTGTGACGTCAGTTTGTTAAGGATCCTATGCTCTACTGTCAGCGGTGTTTCATCAAACAGCAAAATGGTTAATTGGAAATGTTATTCTGAATTAGCCAATTTGACATGCAGTACCTGGTGCTGGATCTGCACTCTGGGGCAAATCCTGTAACCAGGCTGGATGTTGGGCAGATGTGCAAGGGGATGTAGAGGGGAGAAATCCTGCTTCCGAGGCTGTGGAGCAGTTTTGGAGCCATTTCGCAGAAGCTACTTTAGCCTTTATGAGACTGATGGCCTGGAAGGTTGAAATGTGGGTCAGGAAGATTGTGACGCAGCAGGATCTTTGGCACCACTTCTGACCTTCTCCCAAGATGCCCATGCCTCACGCTCTGCTCACTGATGCGAGTGGGGCACCATGCTCTGCAGAAAGCGCATCTTCCCCTGCATATCCCCGAACACCTCTAACCACAAATCCGTCCCTCTGTGCACTTATAACCACATTGGTTCCACTGCAAAAGGGGCCCCTCTGAGCCAGTGAGACGGGGACTCAGCTAACCCTTTTTTGTGTAAGAGCTATTAGTATCATCGCAGAGAGAGACAATGTCCTGACTTAAGCTATTTTGTGACAGTGCTATTGTTACATTTTAAAACAGTGAATAATAGCAATGTAGTGCTCGAGGAGGTCTTAAGTGGTCATTTTTCCATCTCCCCATGCTGAGGTAGGACCACGTACACCTAGACCAATCATGACATATGTTTGTCTAACCTGCTCCAAGGATGGGGATTTCACAACCTCCCTTTGTAACCTATTCTAGTATTTGACTAACCTTATAGTTTGAAAGCTTTCCATAATATCTAACCTAAATCTCCCTTGCTGGAGATTAAATTGACTATTTCTTTGCCTATCCTCGTTGCACATGGAGAACAATTGCTCACCCACCTCTTTAAGACAGGCCTTAGCATATCAGAAGACTGCTATCTTACTATATATTTTTTGTAAAACATTTTCTGGTGCAGATATGTGCTGTCACAGGAGAATAACAACTATCTGACATCAACATACTTATCAATGAAGATGGGGTTGTTTCGTTTTCTATTGATCACTTATCATTCCAGTGGCTTACCAGCCTGACATACTTTCTTTTACTGATTTGGTTCCATTGCAATAAAATGAGTGTTTTTCTGAAACAAAACTTTAAGATAAAAAAAACCTTGATGTTTGCACATTCAGAAATAGTTATAACTAGAGTTTGTTTTCTATTATTTCCTGTACTTACTTTTCCATTATTAGACATATCTTCAGAAATGATGGAACAAAAATAATTTTCTGGTTGGTCAATATCCCCTCTAGCAGTTTATTTACAACCTTCTCTGGCTCCAAAACTTTCATTAATCTGAAATGAGAGGAACATGTTAAAAGTAGTGCTGAATATCATGGAATTAAAAGGGTCAATACAATTCAAACTAGGATGCTTTAAATACTGATGAACCAAGATAATACAAATATAACTACTAAATGGGTTAACTGACATTATGGAGCTGAGATACTATGTATTGATTATCTTCATTTTTACATAATTGAGCAGAGCACCAGATCTGCAAATGAGTAAAGTGTAATAGTCAGAAAAGATACTGCTAAGGGAAGGGACTTGAGATTCCCACTGTTCAATGCTCTTCAAATCTTACCTTATACTTGGATTTTTGACAAAGCCAGTATTTATAAAAACAGGACAAAGGCATGATGTTTTTATTCCATCCTTTCCCAATGCAGAAAGTTCTTGTGTTAGGGCTTTATGAAATCCAACTGCAGCAAACTTGCTTGAACTGAAAGAGAATTACAAATGATCTGGCTGGAAAACAGTTCCCAATCCCAGTTACTTTTGACATAGGCAGAAAATTATCTGTCATGTAGCTCTACTGTATATACAATCCATCAGTAAGCTGTCAAGTAGGATCAGCTGGCTTAGTAACGTCGTCTTACCAAGTTTTCCTCCTCAAGAGGCTGTGTTGCCTAGTGGCTAGAGCACTGGACTGGGATGCAGAGCTGCCACTGGCCTGCTAGGGGACCTTGGGCAAGTCATTTCACCTCCCTGTGCCTCAATTTCCCATTGGCTGGAGAAAACCTGTATATCAACTCCCTTTGATGTGGCCGGCTTAAATGCATTTTAGTAATTTCAGCACATCTGCATAATCCTTTGTGGATTGACTGCACATACATTATGTAAGAATATTAATGATCAGTGAATTGCTAGTTTTCCAATGACATATCACATGAGACCTTTATATACAGATTATTATAACAATAGGGAGTTGGGGTACACTGAGCTGGTCAAAAGCCAGCTGAAATTCACTGCGAGATATCAGGGAGCCCCTTACCTTTTGGTACAGGCACACTGTTATGGTAATATGTACACATTTTGTACATGAGCACATACTTCTACAAGAGTCTCTTAGAACTGGAATAGTATCTTTGGTGTTGGTTGTAAGGACAGTGGGAAACAACATTTTAAAAGTGGCGAAGGAGATAGAAATTTGAAATCACATACCAGTAAGTCACCATGAAAGAAGCTACCAAGTGACCAGCTACTGAGGCAACAGTGACAATATGGCCATGATTGTTCTTCATCATTGCTGGCAGAAATGCTTTTGTAGTCTTGAAAATAGTTAAAAGAAAGAAAAAGTGTGTGTGACAGACAGCAACAGAACAAGTAAGACAGAAATGTATTTTCTATATGGGTCACTGTTTAGTACGTTTTAAAACAAAAGTATTTATTGTCTTTAAATAGTTTTAAAATATATTTTATTAAACTTAACACACTGACACTCTAGTGCAGGGGTGGCCAACCTGAGCCTGAGAAGGAGCAAGAATTTACCAATGTACATTGCCAAAGAGCCACAGTAATATGTCAGCAGCCCCTCATAAGCTCCCCCGCTCCCAACGCCTCCCACCTACTGGCAGCCCCGCCGATCAGCACCTCCCCCTCCCTCCCCGCGCCTCCCAATCACCTTTTTCGTGGCGCGTAGGAGGCTCTGGGGGGGAGAAGTGAGGGCACGGCAGGCTCAGGGGAGGGGGCGGGAAGGGGTAGAGTGGGGGCAGGCCTGTGGCAGAGCCAGGGATTGAGCAGTGAGCACCTCCCGGCACACTGGAAAGTTGGTGCCTGTAGCTCCAGCCCCCGAGTCAGTGCCTATACAAGGAGCCGCATAACTTCTGAAGAGCTGCCCATGTGGCTCCGGAGCCAGAGGTTGGCCACCCCTGGTCTAGTGACATTTACCCAGTAATGAGCGAGAGTGTTGACCTCGAACATTTTTTGTATCTGCTGGTCCTGAGTTGAAAGCAGATCAGCAGTTGTAATCACTCCTGCATTATTCACCAAGATGTTAACATCTCCGATGTCTTTTTTCACCTTTTAAAAATTGAAGAATTTAAATACGTAGTTACATGCAGAGCTAGAAATTGTAGACTTGACAGTGTTATACCAATTAGTTTAGTTGTTTTTAACTTTTGAACTTCAGCCTATTGTAGAACTTTGCTTTTTGCAGAGGAGAAAAATCACCAAAAGAATCAGGATTCATCAGAGGAAATTATGCAAATTCTAAGTCCACCCCTAAGGAGCTCATTGCAGATTTGGGGCTTCAGTGTGAATCAATCTCCAGTATTGGAGCTACTTAGAGAGCTCTAAAAAACCAGATTCAAAAGATATTGAAAGTTACCCACATTAGTTTAACTCATCTGTAGAATTATAGTACTTTTAATACAAAATTCTATGTTTAAGTGCCCACGGTGTTCTTAGTACTGGACTAGATATTAAAAAAAAATGACGGTCCCTACTCCAAAGAGCTTACAAGGGGCAGATTCAGAAAAGGCATGATGTCTAGGAGGAAACACAAAGAAGGGCATTAGAATGGACATTTTTTCCCTTTTAATTATTGGTTAACTCCTCCTGCAGAAGGTGGTGGGAAAAGTGAGATTTTACTAATTATCTGAATGAGGTGAATGTGGTACTGTGATGATCAGGGGTCACACACCCCAACGGGAGAACAGAAGGTTTAAACCTCCCAAATGATCAGTAGAATGCATACTGTATTATTGTACTATACAAGCATATTGAGTAAGGAGGTGATGCTCTGATCTTGATGGTCATTATGACTACATATCCAGATTAGGAGGTACGCTGGGAAACTGTTCAGAGGCAATTGGGAACTTGTATTAGGAAAGGGATTTTATCTACTATGGGAGTGTAAAGCCTGAGGCTGTCTCTGTATGTTTCGTTTCTGTGTAACTCGTATACATTCACTCTCCCTTACTATTTCATCTTTGAATCTGTTTTTTCTGTTCAGTAAACATTTTGTTTATTTTCATCCCAAGCAGGTCCCTGTTGTGTAAATTGTGGAGTCTTCCAAAGTAAGCTGGTATCTGGCTTCATGCCTCCGGAGGCTGACAAACCAGAGGGGAAAAGTTTGAGTGTCTGATAGTGAAGAACTTGGGGAGGAGGGATCTGGGGGTACTTGGGACTGAAAGGGCTGTTGGTTTCACCCTGTAGGAGTAATTAGGCTGGCAGAAGCCAGCGTGAGATCTTATGCTTGTGCGCTGGCTACTGTTGTCAGGGATTGGAACCACAGCACAAAGGCCCACAAAGTTACAAGGAAGGTAGTGATGGAACCCCTTACTGGTGTGGGGGATCACCAAAACATCACAGGTACCCCCAGCTTCTCTTCCCCAATCTTCACTGAAGCTGTAGCATGCTTGGGTAATCTTTGAAACATACACATTACAGTCTTACCTTCTCTGCAGCACTGTAGATTTCTTCCCTTTTACTGCAATCCACCACAAAAGCATGAGCTGCGGCCCCCAGCCTTCTGCACTCTGCAGCTGTTTCCTCAATGCCATGCTATAAATGAAAAAGGGGAAAATCACAGATACTCAGAGGTGTCCGGACTGGATCATATTATTAGGGCACCAGTCGGTCCTCTAATTTTTCACACCCCTAAGCATTGTAGCTATGTAGACCTACGTTTTAAGTACAGATCAGGCGTAAAAGTTTGCAGCCTGGGGGCATATTTTCCTGTTTTTTGTTAAATAGCTTTTTCTCTCCATTGATGCCATACAGCAATGGAAAACATTTTAAAAACAGGAAATATGGTGGCTGAACCATCAACATTGTCTGAGAGACTCAGGCGCAGGTGTAGAACCTGAAAATGCTTAAATTCCCTCCTTCCCCCAAATTGACTAGATTTTGAGATCATGGTGTCCCATTAAAAGAAAACAGAACAGACCGGTATGTTGACTGCAATTCCAGTTAAGTGAATATTTATGTGAACCACAGCATAAAATCTTCCGAAGGGGCACAAACCCGTCATTCTACTTACACCCAGCATACCAGCAGTGCTCTGACTGCCATTCGAGGCAAATGCAGATGTCGAGCACTTGTGTGAATGTGGATGTAAGCCAGGGTCTGAGTGAACTCTCCCCTGCCATCTAGCGATGAACCGAGGGTAAAGACTTCAGGAGCAGTGCGTCTCACCTACTCTGCCCAGGTGTTCCGCAGACAGAACTGCTTTGCCAACGGCATCAATTTTGGCTTTCTTGGGTTAAAATTCCCTTTAGTATTCAACCGGCAGAGCCTCAGAACAGGGCATCACAAAGGTGCCAGCAGTGGCAGAGATGACAACAGCAATAGCAAGCAGCGAGCGGTGGCAGATACAGCAGCAGCAGCAAGAGCAAGCAGTGGAAGAAGCAGCAGCGAGCGGCCAACAATGGCAGTAAGGCACTGCTCATTCATTTTCTGGCGCGGGAGGTAAACCCGCCCAAATGCAAACCTGGATTCTGGGGAACGTTACGGACCTCAGACAACAAATGCAAGTGGGGGAAAGGACTAAAGTGTGTTAAAGGAACACTCATTTGTGGGACTTCCACACTGCAAGGTGGGAAACTGAGGCAAAGGACGCTGCCCAATGTACTGTGTGGCAGATGTTTCTTTACGGTTAAGGTTAAGATTTTGTCACGGTGCTTTTTATTAAAAGTCACGGACAGGTCGTGGGCAATAAACAACAATTCCTAGAAGCCCATGACCTGTCTGTGATTTTTACTAACGGGGGGATGACTGAAGGCTGAGCCTTGCAGGGGGTCGGGAGGAGAGATCCCAAGGCCCACTGTGGGACAGGGGAGGAGGTCCAGCACCGGCCACTGCCATGCTGACTGTTCTGGGGCCCCTGCTGCAGCCCCAGTGGCTCACAGCTCTTGGGTCCCCACCACCTGCAGTGGCTGACTGCTCTGGGGTCCCCACCACCCATGGTGGCTCAGAGCTCCGGGGTCCCTGCCACCCCCAGCAGTTGAGAACTCTGGGTCTGGTGTCTCAAAGCTCCAGGTGCCATCGCTATCCATGGGGGCTGAGAGGTCTGGGTGCCCCTGCCACCCATGGCAGCTCAGAGCTCTGGGTGCCCCCACCGCATAGAACGGCTCAGAGATCCAGGGTCCCCTCCGGCTGAGAGCTCCAGCCCTGCTACGCCAGGGCTGGGTGGGGGCTTGAGCTGCTTCTGTTTAGTATTTTTAACAAGGGCCCCTAGATACTGAACCCATCCTTTATTGCTGCCAACACAACCAGGTAAAAGAGTTACATGTACAGTATATGTGTACATTTTAATCTAACCTCCTCTTTCTGATAAAAGACAATAATTTCAGGGTGGGGTGGTACTGGAGATGAAGTTTACTACATTACCTTATTGATGTCCCATAGAACCAATCTGCTTTGTCGATTGGCAAATTCATAAGCTGTAAGTCTCCCAATTCCATGACCAGCACCGGTAATGAGAACAAGCTCTCCACTGACAGACTTTCTTTTCACAGGAATGAAAAGCTTCACAAAAGCCTCTATGTAGGAGTAAATTATTATAAGTAAAAGCAACAAAAACTCCATAAAGAGGTTCATTTTTCTACAGACTTTCAGTACTTTGATTGACCCTGATGGTCACTATTTAAAACACTGTAGGTTATTTATTTTTCAGAGACCAGGAAGAGCTCCTCCACTGGAGACAGTGGCTGGAAAAACTGTTGTTGATGTGCACATTCCACTGAGAAAAGTTGTCTGCTGTGTCTGTAAAATTAACTACCTCACTGCCAAATCAATTACATTCAACCTGTTCAACAAGACACAGATGATTAGGACAGGGCTGAAACCTGCCTGGAATCTGTCTAACAAATAAGATTGTCTTTATTTTCATGTGTCTGCTGAAATATGACCTCGTGGGATTCAGATTAATAGATTATAAAGCCCGAAAGGACCACTGTGATCATCTAGTCTTCCCTCTTGTATAATACAGGGCATAGAACTATTTCAGAATTCACCGTTTACCCCAGAGCATATCTTTTACAAAAACATCCAATCTTGATTTTAAAATTTCCAATGATGGAGAATCCACTACAGCCCTTTGTAAATGTTCAAGTGATTAATTCCCTCATTGTTAAATATGATTTTGAGTTTGAATTTGTCTAGCTTCAACTTTCAGCCATTGGATCTTGTTATAACTTTCTCTGCTAGACTGCTAGAAGAGCCATCTATTACCAAACTTCTGTTCCCCATTTAGGTATTTACAGACTATGATTAAGTCACCTGTAACCTTTTATTTAAGTGAAATAGAGCATGCTCTTCTTGAGCCTCTCTCTGTGAAGCACAGTTTTTTAATCCTTTAATCATTCTTGTGGCTGTTCTCTGAAACCTCTTTAATTTATCAACATCCTTCTTGAATTGGGGAATCAGAACTGAGTCTGGTATGACTGTTCCACTATTTTGCTGGAGATCAATGACTGGCTGATAGGCCTTTAACTCCCCAGATAATTAAGGAATCTTTAATTATTTAGTTCCAGGGTAGATGGTGATATTACATTGCATTGTAATGTGATGATTCAATGTCTCAACATGAAAGCAAAAAATTTGCAGTGGGATTTTTTTAGGTTTTCAGACTAAATACAAATATAAGGGAATGTTAAAGGGGGAAGTAGAAGTCTGTGTATGCTCTTGATTTAGGGGAGTCCCAGATATTGCCAGGTATTACCAACCTCAAGTGTTCAAAAATCATGAGATTGTCTTAAAAATTGTGAAATTGTAAATAATACACCTTTTTCTTTGCCTTTTGATTACAACTCACCTATGTTTTCAAGCTTTTCTCTGCAATCATGAGAGCTAGAAACTTATTATTTCATAAATTATTTACTTTTTGTTTAACCATTACAGCTACAAAGACTAGTCATCGACCATGACTCTTGCGCTAGGTCAGGGGTGGGCAAACTTTTTGGGCCACTTCGGGGTTGTGAAACGGTATGGAAGGCAGGGTAGGGAAGGCTGTGCCTCCCCAAACAGCCTGGCCCCTGCCCCCTATCCGCCCCCTCACACTTCCCGCCCTGACTGCCCTCCTCAGAACCCCCAACCCATCCAACCCCCTCTGCCCCTAACCACCCCCTAGGACCCCACACCTTATCCAACCCCCCTGCTCCCTGTCCTCTGACTGCCCTCCAGGACCCCCGTCCCTAACTGCCACCCCAAGACCCCAGCCCCTATCCAACCCCCCTGCTCCCTAACTGCCCTCTGGGCCCCCCGTCCCTAACTACCCCCCCCAGAACCCCACCCCCTAGCTAACCCCCCTGCTCCCTGTCCCCTCTGACCCCCCCCCCAGCCACCCCCCCCCAACCTCTGCCCCATCCAACCGCAAACTGCCCCCTATCCCCTGATTGCCCCCCCGGGACCTCTTGCCCCTTATCCACCCCCCCTCCCCACACACCCTTACCCTTACCAAGCCACTCAGAGCGGCAGGACAGGCTTATTTGAAAGCCTGGGAGGTGGGCGGGCGCAAGCCTGAGCGGCGGTGTGGCTGCGGGGGGGGGGGGGCAACGGGGGAGGGGCTGGGGGCTAGCCTCCCCGGCCAGGAGCTCAGGGGCTGGGTAGGACGGTCCCGCAGGCCGAAGTTTTCCCACCTCTTTGCTAGGCAATATTCAGATTCAAGCTGGGATTCTCAGGCAACCTCTTGATTTCAGAAAATGTGGCTTTTAAGAGAAAATGCCAAATCTAAAATGCAATAATCCAAATGCTGTGAAATTGTGATATAATCAGGAGAGTTGGCAGCATTTTATGAAAAAGGTTGAGAACCCCCTGATCACTCTCCCCCGGGATATGTAGGCTTCCAAAGGAGATTGTGGATCCCCATCTCGGAAGGTTTTTAAGAACAGGTTAGACACACACGTGTCAGGGATGGTCTAGGTTTACTTGGTTCTGCCTTAGGATGGACTGGATGGCCACTCAAGGTCCCTTCCAGCCCTACATTTCTATACTCCATGCTGTGATTTGGGGTGCATTTGTGTCAGACGCTCACACTTGCTTTAATCCAGCCTGCATGGGTACCGAGGACAGTGAAGGCGCAGCGCGCTCAGTGTGGGCTCGCTGTCCAGCGCAACGCCACGGGACAGGAGTAGGGATGGTGAAGCTGCCACGCCTTCGCTGCCCTCATGCCCCGCTAGCCCTCGTTCCCATGCAGACGCACCTACCCCTGGGGGCCTGCTGAGTAAGTTTGCCAGGCATTCAGTTTTTGACTTGGCTGTGAGAAGTCTCATGGGTGGTGCAGCACAGACCCGGGGCTAAGGCAGGCTCCCTACCTGCCCTAGCTCCGCACAGCTCCAAGAGGCAGCTGCAAGCTCCTTGTGGCCCCTAGGCACAGGGGCGGCCAGGGAGGCTCCACAGGCTGCTTCCTCCCTTAGTGCTGGCTCCGCAGCTCTCATCGGCCTGGAACCACGAGGGCAGTGCGTGGAGCCTCTCATGTGCCATGGGGCTGCACGGCAGGGACCTGGTGGCTGCTTCCTTGGAGCCATGGTAAGCGCCACCGGAACCCTGCACCCACACCCAACCCCCAACCCCCTGTGCCACCCCGGAGTCCCCTCCTGCACCCAAACTCTCTCCTGGAGCCCGCCCCCCCCCAACACCCTGCCCCAGCCCTGTACCCCAAAGTCCTCATCCCCGGCCCCACCCCAGAGCCCACACCCCCTCCCGCACCTCAAACCCCTCATCCCCACCCAGAACCCTCACCTAAACCCACTGCCACAGCCCGGAGTCCCCTCCTCCACCCAAAAGCCCTCATCCCCACCCAGAACCCTCACCTAACCCCCCGCCCCAGCCCGGAGTCCCCTCCTTCACCCAAAAGCCCTCATCCCCAGCCCCACACCCCCTCCCGCACCTCAAACCCCTCATCCCCAGCCCCTCCACCCCCCTCCGAGCGTGGTGGGGAGCGAGCAGCCGAGGGCAGTGGATGGAGCGAGTGGGGACCGGGCCTTCGCGAAGGGGTGGGTCGGGGGTGCTCGGTTTTGTGGGATAAGAAAGTTGGCAACCCTCTTGCCGAGCCGCCATGGCCCCACAGCGGCATGGGGAGGTGTGCACACATGCCCCACGGCAGCGATGGCTGCAGGCCGGCCCTGGTGCATAGCCCTTCCGCCCCCAGTGTGCGCACAGCTAGGACTATATTTCCCGCAATCCCGGAGGCACCCCTCCAGCCTCGCATCGAGGCCGCGAGTTCGCGGAAGGATCTCTACTGCGAGGCTCCAGCAAGGCGGAGCGCAGGAGGTGGGGGAATGCGTGCGCATCTCCCTACCGATGCCGAGAACGCAGCCAATAGGAAGGGGCGTTCGCTACTTTGGCGGTGGGACTGGGAGGAGTCAAGCGCCGTTAGGTAGGGAGGAGGCAGCACGTCACAGCAGCTCTCGCGAGAGGTGCAGACGCGAGCGCCGAGGGGAAGCGACAGCCGGTCGCTGCCCTCGTCGGCGCGGTTGGGACCCGCCCGCTTCCGGCTGTACTCCAGTCAGAGCGAAGCTGGTGAGCGACGCCTTGCTCGTTTCCATGGCGGCTGCCGTGGCCCCAATCGGCTGCCAGAATGAGGCTTGATTGACGCGGGCATTGCCCTATCGCTAGTGGCGTTTCAGGGCGAGGGGGAGGTCCAGGCTAGTAGCCCTGTGAGCCCGGGGGTGGGACGGAAGGAGGCAGCCAGCCTCGCCAGGGGGTAAGAGGCCCTCCCGGCCAGGGCGGAGGCTGCCTTGGGGTGAGGGGGGCGCTGGGCGAGCAGGGGGTGTTAGCCGGGGAGCGGGGTGATTCCCGTCTTCGCATCGGGGCTCCCGCTTCCTGGCCTGCACCCACCCCCCGCTGGGTCCCGCGGGGCGGCCTGGTGCCCTGGTGCGGGCGGCCCCCGGGGGCTAGCAACATCCCCACGCGGTCCCGGGTCCCTGTGGAGCAGCCTGGGCCCGGAACGGCGGCAGCAGGGCCGCGGTGGGCTCCCGGTCACGGGCGGTCAGGGCTGGCTGTGTTACCGGGCCCTCTGCCCTGGGAGTGCCTGTGGGGGAGGCCTGTGGCCTGTGCTGTGCAGACGGGCAGACTCGATCATGGCAGGGGCGGGCTGTGGACCCCAGCGCACAGCACGCTGCTTTGGTGTCTGTCACAGCTGACTTAGACCTGGCCTCTGGGGGCTCTTGCATGTGTCAAGCTGCGGGGTTCTTGTAACGCTCCCCTCCTCTCCCCTTCCCCGCTCCCCCGTGGCGTGTAAGGAATTAGCTAGCGCCCCTGCTCTCTGATGGATGGCTTCTGAATTGCTGACAGGGAGGCTAGCTCGTTCACCTGCACATCTACCAGTGTGATATGTGCCATCATGTGCCAGCAATGCCCCTCTGCCATGCACATTGGTCAAACTGGACAGTCTCTACATAAAAGAATAAATGGACACAAATCAGACGTCAAGAATTATAACATTCAACAACCAGTTGGAGAACACTTCAATCTCTCTGGTCACTCGATTACAGACCTAAAAGTGGCAATTCTTCAACAAAAGAACTGCAAAAACAGTGACTGCTGAATTGGAATTAATTTGCAAACTGGATACAATTAATTTAGGCTTGAATAGAGACTGGGAGTGGATGGGTCATTACACAAAAGTAAAACTATTTCCCTATGTTTATTCCACCCCTCCCCCCCCACTGTTTCTCAGACGTTCTTGTCAACTGCTGGAAATGGCCCACCTTGATTATCACTACAAAAGGTTTTCTCCCACCCCCCACCCCTCCTGCTGATAATAGCTCATCTTAAATGATCACTCTCCTTACAGTGTGTATGGTAACACCCATTGTTTCATGTTCTCTATGTATATAAATCTCCCCACTGTATTTTCCACTGAATGCATCCGATGAAGTGAGCTGTAGCTCACGAAAGCTTATGCTCAAATAAATTAGTTAGTCTCTAAGGTGCCACAAGTACTCCTTTTAGCTCTAGGGATGGGGTCCTGCTCTTTTAGAGCAAGAGCATGCGAGTTGTGTCCCCACTGTGTCTGGATTCCAAGCGGCCACAGAAGGTTGCCACACAGTGACAGCTGCCAGGTTCCTGGGTGACTGTGAATTTGTTAAGACTTTCAAAATAAGCAGTTAAAGGAAACACTTGCACAGGGCTGGCCTACAACATTTTGGCACCTGAGACGGAGGGCTCGAATGACGCCCCCCTGCCACCTTGCTTGGGCCAAAACTTTGAAAGGTCTTAACTCTGCCTTCTTCCTGTTCTTCTCTGTTGGATGCTCTGCTACCTACCCCAATAAAGGACAACTAAGAACTTAAAATGCCTTGTGCAAAAAATTTTAAGTAACACTTAACTTTCAAACACCTGAACAGCAAATGTAACTTTTCTTGTCTGCATACTAAACACTAAAAAGAAAAGGAGTACTTGTGGCACTTTAGAGACTAACCAATTTATTTGAGCATAAGCTTTCGTGAGCTTCATAAGCATCCGATGAAGTGAGCTGTAGTGATTTGAACTGCTTCCTGCTGAAGGTCCACAGTCTGGACCAGCTCATGCTCTATTGAGATGTTTGCAAGGCCGACCATTGTGGAGTGTAGGTGTGTTTTTATTAACTTCAGCTTGGAGAAGCTGCGTTCTCCACTGGCAACTGTTACAGGAAGTGTTAGAAGTATGCACAGAGCAACAAAAGCATTTGGAAAGAGGGTTGGTCATCTTATTTGTGTACATTCCAGAACAGCCTTTGGAGTTGATCCTGCTGAAATGTATCTTGAAAGGGCTTTCAGTTCATCACCTAAATCACTCGCATCAATATTGTGCATGTCATCATGTGTCAACACTGTCTCTAGTGCCTTGCATCGCTGGTGTAGATCTTCTTCAGGTATAGTGAGGAGTTTTGGAATATCATACAACATCCCAAATACACTGCTGTGTTCCTTGAGCTGTATGAAACATTCTTCAACTGACTGTATTGCACAATCTAGCACCTGGTTAAAGAATTCAACTTTGAATTGTTGTTTGGGGTCTCTTATGGGATTATCCCGTGCCTCGTAATCAAAATGTCATCGTCTTCGGTGACTCTTGTATTCTTGAATGGGTGGGAAAATAGCTTCAGCGTGAAGTTCCTCTGCCAACTTCTGTGCACTCTTCAGAACGTTTTTAAATCCCTCATCTGACTGGTAAGACTGTAGGTATGACTTTGCTTTGTCCAGTTGTTCCATTGCACCACATATATAGAGGTCAACACCTTGGAGTCTCTTGCTTACAACATTTATTTCAAAGAGTATGTCATGCCAGAACACTAAGCCACACAGAAATTGGAAGTTATGTATGTTTCTGGTGATTCCATTTCCCTCTGACATTGTTCTCCCATGAACAGTTCCTATCATAGCATTACCCTCCATAATGGCGACTATGGCACCATCTATCTTTCCAATTTGGTGTTTGTTAGGCTTTATCGCCTCCACTCGACTTTCCCATCGTGTGGCACTCAGTGGTTTCTTTGTCAGAGAGGATGTTCTCAGATGTTGCTTCAAAATTGGCCATCGATGAGTTGATGCAGAGAAAAATGCTTTGAATGACATTAAAAAATTCAGCAGCCTCACTAGAAGCTGATGCTGTATCACTGACCACCAAGTTCAATGAATGAGAACTGCCTGGGACAAAAAAAAGCTTGAGGGTTTAACTCTCGGATCCATGTCTGCACTCCTCTGTTCTTTCCTCTCATGTTGGCACCATTATTGTAGCCCTGACCTCTCATGTCAGCTGTCACAGTTCCTGTATCTTCCAGCTTTTTAAGAAGCACATTTGTCATACCAGATCCTATAGTATCATCAATGTCAATACATTCTAGAAAATGCTCTCTGACAGTCACCATTGCAGGGACATTTTCCCTAGGTTCTGTTGTTGTTACAAAACGCACCAGTAAAGTCATTTGTTCCCTATGGCCGATGTCAGGCGTGCAGTCCAGAATAACAGAGTAATATCTTGCTGACTTCAGATCTGCCACAATCTTCTGTTTGACTTTTCTTGCCTGTAACTGTATGATCTCATTTTGAATTGTTTTTCTAAGGTAGTGGTGTGTGTACATTTCTTGGATGGTGACTTTTCTTAGATGCTCCTGGAGTACAGCATCAAACTCAGCCATCAGCGCCACAATTTTAAGGAAGTTTCCATTGTTTGGCACGTACAGCTGATCTGAAGTGCTACGCTGTGGTAGGTTTTGGGTAGCAAGCATTCTCACCATGGCAATGAGCCCTTTCAAAACATTTTGCCAGTAAAGAGGCTCTGATGCAATCTTCTCTTGATGCTGATTGTCTGTGGTGGCTTTTAACCTTAGTCTCATCTCAAGCTCTTTCCACCTATGGAATGCTCTCTGGTGATTTGCTGCCGTCTCATGGCATGCCAGATTTCTAGCCAGATTTTTCCAGTCCTTTGTTCCTGTAGAACCCAATGTGACTGGAAGAGTTTGCAACAAAAACAGTATGCAGCATTCTGGGTTTTGGAGCACATAAGCCATGGCCTCTGCACTTTGTCACCATTGGGGATTTCACGCCAGTAATGTGTTGGATGGAAACTTCTATTTTCATTGTCTTTGGGGAACATGAAGTTTTTCACTTGCTGTGGCCCATGCAGTACAAGGATGTCCCTCAGGCTACTGCTCAAGTGGGTCCACAGTTCTGGATCATCTAGACTTAAGGAACTAAACTCAGCAGCAGCTGTTTCTTGCTCCTCCACCAAACTCTTCTCTGATCTACACTTTTCTTCAGGAATGTGCATGGTTACATCCATTTGAAATGGAGATATGGATGCTGCAGTAGCTGCCAGGTCACCTGCACTCTGACTAACTGGAAGATCAGGCATCTCCTCACCACTCACATCCTCACTGGGGCCAGAAGGCTCACCGTGAACATTTGTGTCTATGTATCTCAGGAGAGCTCCTTCCTGCTTAGATAGAAAAGCTTCCTTTGCTTTCTTTCTTTTTCTGAATGCCGCCCCCGAGGGGCGTTTTCTTCTTTCCCTCATGACTGCTGTTCTGTGCCAGCTATCATGGTTCTCAACACTCAATTGAAGGGTGTGACAGGTTGGATCACAGAAACCCCCTTGGGACTGCCACCTGATGTGCCAAGATTACTTCTGCCCCTGCTTTGCTGCCCTGTCACTTCGGACTTCGGTGCCCTGCCTGGTTTGAGCCAGACCTGCTAGCCTGCTGCAAACCCAGATCCAGGTCTGAACCACGTCCCCTAACAGCGATAGGCTTAACTGAAAGCAGCTTGCAGACATGTTCCTGTCTTTAACAATCAGATGCCCAACTCCCAATGGGTTCCAAACCATAAATAAATCTGTTTTACCCTGTATAAAGCTTATACAGGGTAAACGCATAAATTGTTCGCCCTCTAAAACACTGACTGAGAGATATGCACATCTGTTCCCCTCCCCCCCCCCGGTATTAATACATACTCTGGGTTGGTTAATAAGTAAAAAGTGATTTTTATTAAACACAGAAAGTAGGATTTAAGTGGTTCCAAGTAGTAATAGACAGAACAAAGTGAATTACCGAGCAAAATAAAATAAAACATGCAAGTCTATGTCTAGTACGGTAATAAAACAGAATACAGATAAAAGCCTCACCAGTTCCAGTAAGCTTTCTTTTACAGACTAATCTCCTTCTAGTCTGGGTCCAGCAATCACTCACACGTTGTGTGGTTACTGTCATTTGTTCCAGTTTCTTTCAGGTATCTTTGGCGGTGGAGAGGCTCTCTCTTTAGCCAGCTGAAGACAAAATGGAGTTTTGGAGTCACCTGGGCAAGTCACATGTCCATGCATGACTGAGTTCCTTACCAGCCAAGGCATATTCCTGGGAAAGCCCAGCTGTGGATTGGCATCTCCAAGTTCATTGTTGGTTATACAAATAAGCAGGCTGGTCGCAGGGCCTGAGTGAGGGAAGATATCAGCGTTTTAAGGGCCTAACTGGCTCCTACTACTTCAGTTGACTGCCTGTTCTCCTCAAGTGGGTTCGGGAAGCCACACAGGAAGCTTCCTGAGAAGCTGGTGTTAATCAGTCCAGGCTCCTGGGGGTGCTAGAGAGGTACATAAGAGGCTCCTCCTCCTCTCTCTCCCTGCGGTTCCTGCTGCTTTCTGTTGTTTCCTCTCACCTTTTCTCCTGCCTGCCTGCTATGTGTCTTGTGCCCTCCTTCCTCCAGCACAGCACTCCACCATCTCTGTGCATCTAGAGTAGAGAGAATACATATGCACCAGCAGCAGACACAATTTTCTACACTCTGGGCCGCCCCACAGTCTGGCACCTGAGGCGGCCTCAGTTCGCCTCATGGCAAGGCCAGCCCTGACCTTGCAGGTCATACGGTGTCTTGGATAAACATACACAATGTGATAGTTTACCTGTGCCAAAAAACAACTGAAAAACTGCCTTTTTTTTTTTTTTTTAAGACATCCTTAACAACAGGTGAGTTGTTTTGAAACCTACCAAAAACTTCTAGCTTATACCCTGAACTAATATTAAACAAACAAACAAAACCAAAAAAATCCCCACCACCTTTCCTTTGGATAGTTATAATGGGAGTGAACCTACTGTTCAAAATGGAACCCTAGTTTTAACCTTAATTATGGAGCTTGTGCATAGTGGCCCTGTTCAGGTTAATTCTTAATGATCTGCTACTCAAAAACAACAGTTTTTTTCCCTAGTATCCCATCTATTCATGTTATGGTTTTGCAGGGCACTGGAAACAGCAGTCAGGAGCCACTTTGCAATTAAGGCACTTCTATAAACATAATTACTAGATAATCCTGACAGACCTGCACAGCAGGGACTAGAACTGTGGTCCTTCACCTGTCAAAACACATGCCTTCAGCTAAAATAAAACCTCAGTCACATTGTTGAAGTACAGATGGACCCTTGGACGTGATTCTCCACTGTCTTGGACCTTGCATAGTCATGTATACACGTACGTAGTATGTGTAAAATATTACCAGATCAGAATAATCATATTTTATGACCACTTTGCACAGGAATAAATGACTACCCAAGGTCCAAGACAGTTCTTTCCAAGCTTTGGCCAGCAATGACAGGGCACGCAGTGCTATTGCCCTGATCCTGCAAATACTTCATGCATGTACTTTTTTCATGTAAGTATTGCATGGTTAAATTTAAGCATGAGTGTAAATCATTGCAGCATTAGGACACGTAACTCATTCCAATTAGATAAAACAATAATTAATAGCTTAGTCTTCAATTAAACCTTCTGCACATGTTTTCAAGAGATTTAACTGTGGAAAGGGGTAAAATATGTCACTGTTAAATGATGAGCAGCCACCTGGTAGTTTGTTAGCACAATTCTGTTTGTTTAAAAGAAGATTTAAAACGTACAGTTTTAAAATTGTTGGACCATTTGTCTAAATCTAGTGTGACTTCCCTGAAGTCAGTAGAGTTGCACCTCTGCAAAACTGGAATAACTGACAGTACAATCTGGTTTACTATTTCTGTGTTTAGGATTCCCCCTCCTGCCCTACCCCACAAAGAATTCAACTTAAGTTATACAATAAATTAATATGGCTCTTCCTTGTAGGGAGTGAGGTGGACAAGACGACACATCAAATGTTTCCTACTTCGTCTCCTGACAGGTCAGGTCACTGCATGGCTGTTGGGCACTGTGTTCTGGGGAGACAAAGTTTCCTGTGAGCATCCTGCATGTGATGGCAAGGTGGTGTCTGGCCCGGACTGTTACTGTGGTGTCCCTCACTGTAACTCTGTCTGCTGTTGCTGTCAGGTACCCTAGCTGCCGACTCCTCCACCCACTACTCCATCCATTCAGAGAGCTGGCCTACAGGTATTTAAATTATAACACAGCAGTGACATAACCCTGCTACTTCCCATAAACAATAAAGCTAGGTTGAGGTCTAAGGCCTTGATCCTGCAACTATGTATGTGCATGCTTAACTTTACATGAGTAGTCCCACTGAAGTGTCTCATGGGACTATTTGTATAAAGTTATGTCTGTTTTGGCATGATCAGGGCTTATTTAGCCCTGTTATTTACTTATTTACCCCTGTTACACTTTCGATGGAGTGGCAGGGTATTTCAGATATTAAAATCAAAATTCTGCCATCAGATCTGTTGAACTTGGAGTTGCAAATATGTGAGTTGCACATGCATATCCAATGAGTGAATTTGGCCCTTAGTATGGTACATAGTTCTGGTAAAATCCCGAAAAGCAGCAGATGATTTTAAGTAAGTTTGTTGCAAGTAGTTACCATTGGAGACAAGTTACTCACTTGCATATGTTTACAGTTTTGGGCCTATTATATAATTTTACTGAAAGTCATGACAGTCTTGATGTATTAATTTTTCATTCTTGTAGAGAGGAATTAATTTTACCAAATTATAGGAAGTATAGCTAGGAAAAGAGATCTCAGATGGAAAGGTTGTGGGTCTAGTTGAGGAATGGGGCAATATTATCGCCTATTTATTCATTTGGATTTGTACGCTTTTTTATAAATAAAATAAAAAGAAGCAACATGACAATTCCTGATGTGTGTATTCATAATACTTATGTAACACTATAATGTAATTCCAATGAGCTGAACTATGCTGTATTTTTGGAATGTCACCACTTCTTTACTCAAAGTATTTTTGGTCATATAATGAGTTGTTATAATCTGTTGAAGAATTATGCTGCAATTTTGCTCAGATCATCCAGTTTTTTTGAGTTTCTTTGGTTTTAGTAAAAGTGCGTTGTTTGGCTAGGGCTGAAAAGGTATTCAATATTCAGAGCCTGTGAGTAGATAGATCAGAGGAAGAAATTTCTCTGGTTTACTCAACTACAGCTTAATCACTGGGCAGATGGAACTGGCTGTATATTTGTAAGCTTAATATGTTACTACGACTTTAACAATTTTAACACCATGTCTTTTTTTTCTCTCTTTACAATTTGGAATTGAATTAAATAACTTCATTAATATATTTTCAGGAGTGTAACACTTACTCTTTCCCCCCCCTCAATAGCTCAGTTCCAGTACATTGGTTCCATTTTTACCCTGTCAGCATGTTGAGCTGTTACAATCCAAATGAAAATGTCCACAACAAAGCTCACACCTCCCCATATCCAGGGTCAAAGGTTGAGCGCAGCAAAGTACCTACTGATAAAGTGGGCTGGCTAGTTGAGTGGGAGGATTACAGACCTGTGGAATACACTGCAGCCTCTGTCTTGGCTGGACCTACGTGGGCAGATCCGCAGATCAGGTGAGCAGTGTCGGACCAAAAGAAATTGGGGGTTCTTCTAGATGAATGTGGTTCTGCTACCCAGTGTAGAGAAAGGAAGGAATTTGTTTTAAATACAGCTGATAGAGAGAAGTTTGATCTACTTCTGCTTTAAATATCTTTCCTAAAATTACATGTGCACCTGGTACTTGTGAAAGTGACGGACTTAATAATCCTGGCTAGAGTACTGTATAATTTGGATAGGCTCTGTGAACTGTCCAAACATCTTCTACTGCACTGCACCTGTGACTATGGAATAGGTAGTAATTTTCTTCTAGAATGAATGGGTGTACCAGGCACAGCCGGATATTCAAATGAAGCTAGTTCTGTAACACATGCACATTTCTATGGCAGTGAAAGGGGTTAGTAACATGAGGAGGGAGCTTCCTTTCTATATGGGATAAAGATGAGTAAAATCTCAGTCTTGCTACACTGTCCTTTCAGTCGTTATCGACATCAGGGCTAGAATACTGCTGCAGCAGCTATATAGAGGCAGAGAAAGTGTTTCATAATATGTACATTTCCATTTGTTTGTTTGTATTTGTATATGAAATGCAAACAGACAGTAATAATACAATGTTAGAATTCTAGAATTGACCACTTGGATTCAAGAAATTCAGAAGTTAAGGTTGAGTGCCCAGCTTTAACTCTGCTTGCTTGTACATATGTATATCAATCCTGTCTAATATTGTAATCATACACTGTTTATTAAAGAATGCAATCTACATATTCTGCAACACTAGATATGTATGTGTCTAAGATATCTTGTGATGCTGTATTTAAACTGTATGCAAACACGTGCACAAAAGGGGAGAAATAAAGTTAGTTAGTGCTTCAATCTTAATTTTCATGTTTCCTGACTTTGCGTTAATATTTGATTACATTTATTATTATAGTATTATTAGCACAGCATCTAATACCAAGGACTCTTGTAAGACTTAGGGTAGAAATGACTATACTGTGCTAGTGCAAAGTAGCCATAGCACAGGGTATATTCTCCCTCTAAATGTTCATAATTCTTAAAAGTGCTGATCCAGATGTTGTGTGTCAGTGTAATCTTCCAAGCAAGCCAGGTTTGAAGAAAACTGGGTCAATGGTTGTAAAGTTATGAATATTTGATGAAAAAACCTTTTGAAATATGCACATTCTATATGTCTGTGTGTGCATGCCCCTCTATAGACTCGTGGCGTGATTTTCAAAGGCACTGATGGGAATTAAATGCAAACTCCGAAAGTCAGTGATTTAATTGGAAAAGTGGTTAGTGTGTATTTTTCATATGCTCATAATTTTGATAAATCACAGCCAATCAAAGGTCTCCTCGGGGATTGTATCTATGTCAAGTTTCAAAGCTTGGCTATTTTGTCCTGTAGACCTGGCTCCAAAAAAATTGGTTAAAAATTTATAAAATGGGAAAAATAAATGTTTGCCAAATTCAAAAGTGGACAAAGGGATTTTGTTCAAACTTTAAAACAAACACACACTTTGGGCCAGAATCAGTCATGGAAAGTATCATCCCAAAAGGTGGATATTTTAGAAACTTAAAATGTCAAATCCATATATCACCTGTTAGAAGTATTGAGAGATTCTGCAGTTTGCAAATACTGACATTTTAATGGGGGCAGGGGAAAAGCTTAGAAAAATAGGGCTGCAATTCAGTTTTAGACCTTTTGGTGAACCAAGTGCCAGCCCTGAGATTTTTGGTGTTTCAGATCCTTTGGATGGCATTACAGCCTCTATAAATAACAGCTGTTGGTTATTTAGTAACTTACTCTATACTATTCTTCCCTGAAACAGTGCCAAAAACTTTTCTCCCAGATTCAATGAGAAGGATGGACAAGTGGAGAGGAGGAGTCTGAGTGGCTTGTATGAGGTTGAAAATGGGAGGCCCAGGTAGGTGTTTTTACTCCTTAATCTTCTGTGTCAATGTTGTGACACTGCACCACATATTGTCATAGTAATATTATTATGGTATGATTATGACATAATTATGGTGCATTTTGTACAAGATAAGTCATGTGAGATGTCATTGAAAAAGTTATGATTTGCTGAATGTGGTTAACTATTTGTATGCATGTATCATTTTTGTAGCTGAAGTTATGAATATTGACTCTGTATCTGTATTTCAAATATAGTTACACCTGTGTAGTGCCCATTAGACAAGATGCTTTCAGTCTAGATGGCTGGTTGGGAAGAGCCTATTCAGGGCAATGAGCCATTAGGGAAAACAATAGGTCTTAGGAGAAGCTTATCTCCCACTTGGTGAGCCTTTCTGAGAACACTCCAGACAGCCTGTAAGTAATGGCTGCTATGACTCTACAAGGACATGTGACCCAAGCCACATGATTCTGGATTCCATCTTGAGATATCAATATTACAAAGACTGAACTGGGGAAAGTGCTGGATCCAGGCAAAAGGAATTTCAATCTGTATATGAAAGACCTGGGGATTCCAAGCCATCAGGCAAATGCAGCTTGTCCCTTAAGAATCTGCAGCCTGCTTGTATCATCAGCTAGGGTGAGAATTTGCTAATTCATGTCCTGTCTTTCTAGTATCTTAGACTTAGTTTGTGTTTTTGTTTATTTATTAGGTAATCTGCTTTGATCTGTTTGCTATTACTTAAAATCTATCTTCAATTAATAAACTTGCTTTTGCTTTATCTAAACCGGTGAGTTGGAGTGAAGTGCGTGGGAAATTGTAGCTCAAGGGACAAAGGCTGTTGCATATTCCTCTCCACATTGAGGGGACAGGGGGGTGAACTCTATGAGCTTACACTGTACAGTTTCCTGTGCAGCTCAAGACGATATAATTTTGGGTTTATATTCCAGAGGGGGTGCGTGCCTGGGGAGCTGAGAGTTACCTTGGCTGTAGCCTTTCTATTGTTTCGTGCAGTGGCTAGGCAGAGAGCTTGCATGTAACTGCAACTGGATGTGTCCCTAGGGTGTATGCTGGTGGAAGTGTAGGACTGGGGGCATGTCTGCAGCTTGTCAGAACAGTGCAATGTGAGAGGGGGCCCAGGCTGGTGGGTCAGAGGGCTCAGTGTACCCCAGTTCCTGGTGGCACCCTGAGGGGAACTCCTCACAAATGTCATTTGAGAAGGTGTGTTTTTAATGTCTTTTGTATCTAATTTAGCATGTGTTACATACTAGACCAGAAGAGCACATTATCTGTGCTGACTTCACTGGTGCAAAGTCCCACACCAGAAAGTTTGCTTAGAAGAGAACTGTAAAGGAGCAATGAAGTGGTGGGCCTGTAGCTAACCCAGCTCCCAAGATTGGAGGATGGGTTGGATGTAGATCTACATGTGTGGGAGAATGTGCTGTAGGATGTGTTGCATCAGTGCATTCCTGCTTTAGCTTCTGCTGGCAGAACTTCTAAGGAAACACCACCTCCTTCCCTGAGGTGTAACTCTCTCAGACTGGATGCAGCAGTTCTCATTGACACAGGAAGGTACAGTTTGTACCTCTCTGCAGCAGAGGTGAATCTAGCACATTATATTTAAACTGTTTATTCTCTATAGGTAAGTGTTTATAATCTCCATTCTTGTGTTTCACACATCAGAGATGAGATTGGAAAGCTGACTAGCAAGCTGAGGGCAAGATTGTGACCTTCCCCTACCTGCTAGTATACAGTGTCTCCTTACTCTTCTCGATGAACTACCCACATAGCCAGCCCATGTGTGAGGCTAGAGAAGACTGTGAAGGGCTGCTACTCCCCCCAGCAAAATGAGGTTGGGACCTTGACCCCCATACCCTGGCATGTAGAACTGCTCTTGCAAACCAGTCACAATTCCTTCCTAGACTGCTCCTGGGATGGTGCAGCTACGTGTTCCGTCCTCTTTACCCTTTACCTTGGAGTAGGAACAATTTAGACCCTTCAGGAGAGTTGTAGTCGTGATCTGGAGGTGAGACTAGTTTAGTTCTTTGACATCATTTCATTTTTTCCTGTGTTTGGTTACTGTATTTAGATTCCAAGGTAAAAGAACAAACCAAAGAATGTCCCTCCAAAGTTCCAGGATCCCTTGCCATATTTTAAAATACAGCATTATAGGAGTTTACAAAACAAAGTGTTGTGGTTTAACTTTTGTATTTTATTGTCAAATTTAGGAAATGTAATGGAGCTTGATCTCACTAAAATGTTTAATAATATTTTCTGTCCATACCTTGAGAGAGAGAGAGAGGCTGAGGTATATGTTGACACTAAGAACTTGACCAAATGTACATTGTTATCCTCCTCTTTCCTTCTTCTGTAGTTCCTTATTATTTGAATGAAGCTGACTTCCCAGAATATTTGTACATATGGGTGTTAGGGTTCCCTCCCCGCTCTGAACTCTAGGGGTACAGATGTGGGGACCTGCATGAAAGGCTCCCATAGCTTATCTCTACCAGCTTAGGTTAAAACTTCCTCAAGGCACAAATACTTCCTTGTCCTTGGAACGGTACTGCTGCCACCCTCAAGTGAGTTAGACAAAGATTTAGGAAAAGGACCTCTTGGAGTTCCTGTTTCCCCAAAATATCCCCCCAAGCCCCTTCACCCCCTTTCCTGGGGAGGCTTGAGAGTAAACAAGGTGAGCACAGACCAGTCCCTTGGGTCTTTAAGACACTAAAAACCAATCAGGTTCTTAAAAGCAGAACTTTATTATAAAGAAAAAGTAAAAGAAGCACCTCTGTAAAATCAGGATGGAAGGTAATTTTACAGGGTAATCAGATTCAAAACACAGAGGGTTCCCCTCTAGGCAAAACTTTAAAGTTACAAAAAAAGAAAAACACAAAAAAACCCAGGAATAAACCTCCCTGTTAGCCTAGGGAAAATTTACAAGCTAAAACGAAAGATAATCTAACACATTTCCTTCCTATTACTTACAGTTTGTAATCTTAGATGCTCAGTTCAGGTATGGCTTTCGGAGATGTACTTTCCCTGCCCTGGTTCCTTGCTGTCCTGGAGAGAACACAAAGAAGCACAAAACAAAAACCTTCCCCCACAGATTTGAAAGTATCTTCTCCCCTTATTGGTCCTTTCGACCAGTTTATCTGAGCTTCTTAATCCTTTACAGGTAAAGGAGGGATTTTATGCTACTCTTAGCTGTATGTTTGTGACAATGGGGGATTTCATATGTACCACCTTCTCTTTCAGAAATCCGTCAGGCAGGACGGGACTGGTGGGTCGAGGATTATTAGGGCGCTGGGGACCAAACCATGCTGCAGATCCTATTATAACTAGGTAAGGAAGACAGGATCAGAGGATGATAGGCCAGCAGAATGGAAAAATGTAGAACTTGCATTCATGTGTACATGTCAGGTACCTGTATATGAAAAACTATGATTATATTTTGATAGGTAACATCCATGTAATAGATATATTTATGTGCAGTTAGTTTAATGAAATATTAGGCAAATGCTTTATTTTCATTTTTGGAGAGGTGAATGGGAAGTAATCAGGACAGACCATTACTTTAACTGGGGAAGCGGATTTAAAAAAAAAAAATAGGAATAACGCAGCTGATAAACCACTGTAGGAAAGTATACACAAGATGACGTGGTAAAAACATCTGAAAGCACAGTGGTGTTGCAGAATACCTTGCATGATTCTCATCATAATATGCCAATGGGCCTTTCCAATGCTCTGTGTAAAATTACTAGTTATCCTTTTTAAAAGATTGTAGGTTTGAAATTCACAACTGGTAATAACTGAAATTCAGCACGGCACATCATGAGATGTGTATCTCCACTGCACTGTTTGAGATGCTGTCTGGTTTTAATGCCTTATCTGAGGAGATCCTCTCTGCTGTTCAGGTCAAAACACATAGCAGTTTTATGATATTATTGCATTAAAATTCAATATATATATAAACATTGCATACAAAAACACATTAAAATAAAAATTGTTAGGTGGCAAAGTCAAGCACTCAAAAATTAGATGTCAGAATTAAGGTGATTGTGCAACCTTAATTTGGCCCCCATGGGCATATACATTGTGATACAGTCTTTAATAACATGATCATATACCATTTTTTTCCATCGCACCATTGCCTAATCCAATTTACAGGATGAGTAGTGCTCAGGAAGTGAGGCAACAGATCAGTATTTCTTTTTATGATCATGGTTCAGTGTAGGCCCTGTAGCTTATTTATTGCATTCCATCCAAACCCTGCTCTAAGTACAAATTTATTACTTTCTTCATAGGCTTTTTAGGCTGCTCATCACCACAGTATAACCCTAATATCTGAAAAGGAGTACTTGTGGCACCTTAGAGACTAACCAATTTATTTGAGCATAAGCTTTCGTGAGCTACAGCATCCGATGAAGTGAGCTGTAGCTCACGAAAGCTTATGCTCAAATAAATTGGTTAGTCTCTAAGGGGCCACAAGTACTCCTTTTCTTTTTGCGGATACAGACTAACACGGCTGCTACTCTGAAACCTAATATCTGAATACTTCAGAAACATTAAACTCCCCATGGAGATAAGAGAGCATTTTTATCCCCATTTCACAGATGAGGAAACTAAAGCAAGGACATAGAGACTTATCAGGGCACACAGTGAATCAGTGGAAGAGCCAGGATAAGAACTCCCAGATAAGCAGTAGCTAATTCCCAAGCCCTTTACTCATTCCTCCAGACCACGCTTTCTTGATGCCAGAGTGTCTGAGCAAACACAATTCATGTTGACTTTAGTAGCAATTGCGAGCACTCAGCACTCTTGTCTCAGGTATTTAAAAGTGGGCACGTAGAAAATAAGGAATCCACAATTTGTGTGAAAAGTTTTAAGTGACTTGCCCAGCATCACCTAGGAACTCCGTCAAAGGCAGGGATTTAATCCAGTTCTCTCAGGGCAGCTTTCAGCTGCCTTATTACAAGATGATGATTTCTGTTTTAGAGTCCTGCCTCATTCACCACACCATACCTTCCAACCTCAAGAGCAAATACTGCAGGGGCAGAAACAGTCTCATTCACTTGATGACCTTGCTTAATTCCAAAGAATGGAAAATAATTTTCCTCGTTTGTCATTCCCTGCAGGTGGAAGAGAGATAGCAGTGGCAATAAAATAATTCACCCAATCTCTGGCAAGAACATTTTACAGTTTGTAGCAATCAAGAGGAAAGACTGTGGGGAATGGGCCATCCCAGGGGTAAGAACCAAAGCACCAAGCAGACATGACAATTATTGTCTAGTAAGGCTATGAAAATGTAATTGGTATTGATTTGACAGCTAGTGTGCATATCCTCTGAATGACTTCCCCTTGTGAGGCATATGAGGGCACTTTAGAAAGCATCAAGGAGAACTAAAATATTGTTTTATCAAAAAGCCATTAAACTGTTTCTTTTTATTGTCATGGTACAAGACAGTATTTGCATCTAACTGGGACTATTCTTTCCAGCTTCATTTATTTACAGATTTCACGCTTCTTTTATTATTGTTGATTACTATTGGTGTTCATAACTCTTCACAAATCCGTTATACCTCCTTGAATGATTTACAGTCTAACACAGACCAATAGAACATACTGAATAAAGAGCAGATGGAATAAGGAGAGCAGACAGGGTCAAAGAGATATCAGCAATGGGTGTTTTTGTTTTTGTTTAGGGTATGGTAGATCCAGGAGAGAAGATCAGTGCCACACTGAAACGAGAATTTAGTGAGGAGGCCTTAAACTCCTTACAGAAATCCAGAGCAGAGAAGGAAGAGATGGAGAAGCAAATGAACAGACTCTTCAACCAGGAACATTTTGTGGTAAACCTTTTCTTCTTCTATGGTAACCTTGTATCTTATTAAAAAACATACTCAAACATCAATAGAATTTATAGGGGACTAAAGAAAAACTGTAGCAGAATGGTTTCATCCATGACGCCACTGTGCTGTACTGTGGGAGTGGATTCTACTTGTGTCCTTCCTCGCTTGGAAATATCCCTACAACTGAGGATTTCTGAACTTTAATATGTGGTTTCCTAGCAGGGAACTGTGCTTTGGTATCAGCCAGTTGCACGTTTGGGTGTAGAATTGTAACATGAGAGAGAATTGGATAGAGCCCTGCTTATCTGGGATCTACACTCTGGAAAAGGCATAGTCTGGAAAAGTTCAATTACATCCTCATTTTATGTATCATTTTCTTAGAGAGACTGATGTATTGTTTTGATGGCCAAGTAGAGTTACTGGAGGTACGAGCCCCTATGAATCTTCTGGCTGCAGCTTCCTTAAATCCTTGTCTATTGTGGGTGATTACAGTGCACTTACACCGCATTCTGTGCCAGTCCCTTAATGGAAAGTGCATGTCAATAAATTGTGTAAGGGTCATCATTACTGATGCTCCTCCGTTTTGCAGTAAAGGCTGCTTTGCATTGCTTGGCACCTCAAGGCTGTGGAATGGAGTTGGGGAATTGATAGGAAAGAGAGCTTTGGACAGTGATGCATTTGTTATGCCTCACCAACTACTAATCTCTCAATAGATAAATATCGCTCTAGACATGGAAGAAAGCCCAGGATCATGGATTATTTTCCTCAGGAGACATTACATGATTATAAAACTTCAATAATGGAGAGGGACCACACAAGAAACCATTCAGTTCAAAGGACAGCTGTCAAAGCAGCTATCGAAAAAGAACTGAGAGTATTAACTGGAACTGGTTGTAATGTCTAGAATAATTTTAAATCTTTTTCCCCCTCTTCTTTGCAAATTTTCTGTGGCATTTTGAATTTCAGTGAAAAATGGTTCAGAGCTTTCAGGAAAATTTCATTCAGGTTTCTCAGATTTTTAAATGTTTTCACCAGTTCTGTTAACTTTTGTGCCTCACCAATGGATAGATGCAGACTGCCGCAATCATAGCGAGTCTGTGAAACTTGTTTAGAATGCCATTCTACTGAGTATTCCAATCTTTATCCTGTGGATTAATTCCCTTTCTGCGAACAATAATTAATGTGTCTGAGCTCAGTGGGTTCTAGTGATTAAATGATTAATACCATTTATTATTGTGGTAGCATGTAGAAGCCCCACACTATGCTAGGCACTGTACAAATGCAGAACAAAAAGACAACCCCTGCCCCAGGGCGCTTACAATCGAAGCATAAGACAAGAGACACTGTGGATACAGACCCGGGGGTGGGGGGCATAAGGAAACAATGAGAAAATATTGGTCAGCATGATAGGCAGTGGTCTAAGCACACCAGTTGCTTAACTGTCAAGATTTTTTGTCTGCATTATGGGAAAGGAGTGTTTTTTAAAGAGGGATTTGAAGTAAGACAATGAAGTGCTTTGTAAATGTTATAAGGAGCTCCTCCCATGTGTGAGGGGCAGCATGGGAAAAAGCACAAAAATGGTTGTCTTCAAACTTAACAGGAAAAGCTTTTGAATGTGCTGACTCGTTTGGGGGAGCAGATCATGTACTCTTCCAGAACATTGCAAACTAGTACAATTTACAGTCATTCCTTAACCAACGGTGAGGCCTTTTAAGATTCTGTGTCATCTCCTATAATGTTGTGCCCTCAGCTTAGATTGTCTGTTTTCTTCTTAGGTGTATAAGGGATATGTGGATGATCCTCGTAATACAGATAATGCCTGGATAGAGACAGAAGCTGTGAACTACCATGACGAACCTGGTGGGTATCCACATTTTTACCTTTTTAGCAGTTGCTCCCCTAAATATGCTGTTACAAACTAGGGGGAAGATGACAGAAAGGTGGTACAGGGCCTGAGATGCACGTAACTCATCAAGTGTGAAAATTAGGTGTTAATCTATGGAACAAAAGTCAGTGGGTGAGTTTTTTCCCCAGAGATGTTCACCCATGGCACACAGTAATCTTTTTCTCCAGCTCAGCCGGTTCCAATAAATATTCCTAAAGGTTAGTTGGCTAAATTATGTTAAGAAAAATAGGTGCTTTGGGAAGATATCTATTTCAATTGAGCATATTGGAAGAATCGTGAAAATGTAACTTAATTTTTAAGATTTTATATATATTTAGTATAAATTATTGGCTAGAGACCAGACATTTAACTAAGCCTTGTTCTTGCTACAGTGTCTCTTTAAATTTGGTTTACTCTTCTGTCCCATCATGAAACTTGGGAGGAGGGATTTAATTTTTCAGAACTGTTCCAGTAACTAGCCAATGCAAAGGACTTGTTGCTTGTTTAGAGGCATTGTTTTGGTGAAGACCTATAAAGACAGCCAATTATTGTTGTCTTCACTCTTCATTATAGTGTGGGATTAGGCCATTGGTATTTTCAGGTACCCTTCTGAAATAGTAGTATCAGAATCTGGTTTACATCTTGGTGAATGGCATGCGGGATGGAAAGTTTCCAACCATTAGCTATATAAAGGGTATAAAACATTGCAGCAATAGGGGCAGAGGAGAGCAGAGATCAGTTGAACCTAAAACTTACTTTAGCAGGAAGACAGTGCATATAATCACATTCATTTTACTAGCTAGCCATGGCACTTGTGAAACTGCAAAAATGGTGACACAAGGGTTAAGGCTACCTATTCCGTCTCCAGCTCGACAGTATAATGTCAGTTATGCATGTAAGTATGAGAGAGGTAATTGTAACACAGAGGAAGAATGTGCTTAATGTCCTAGCTGCTGTTTAAAAACCGGAATGGCATTTTCAGGGCAGTAGTTGGAGTGAAACTGGCATGAACAGGCCTCCTGCAGCTGAGAGTAATGGAGCATGCAGGATAGTGAGAGGGCAGGAAAGAAGATAAAATACTGTCTTAAATCTTTTGTTTGGCAATCAGGTGAGACAATGGATAACTTGCTTCTGGAAGCAGGAGATGATGCTGGGAAAGTGAAATGGGTTGACATCAGTGAGAAACTCAAGCTATATGCAAATCATGGCAACTTCATCAGACTTGTAGCTGAGAAATGGGGAGCACACTGGAATGAAGACCCTGTTCCTGGCTGCCATAAGTGATGCTACTGGAAACTGATGCAAGTATAAAAAGGAAAAGAACATGTTACTTTATTTAGAGAGGCCATCTTTTGTATCTTCAGTTTTGTTAGTGTTCAGTACTGGGTATAAATTGGTACATTAATTGCCTTTTGGTCTGAAACTAGTGCTATACATGGTACATAATGGTAAATACATCAGACATGAAGGGCAAAAAGCATATAGAAGCGCTCCAGTTAAATAGCTGGAATATTCTATGACTGCAGTTAGGCATGGCCTAAACCAAAGCATCTATAAGACTTTTCTCTTCCCAGAACTCTAGAATCCAAACTGGGATGAACTCAGACTAAAAACAGACTTTGCTATCACGTTCTCCATTGCCTTCTCCTTAGTGATTTCCATTCAGCTCTTAACAACTGCAGACAGACATGGCAGTGCCGAGATTCTAAATTGTCTTGATTTTTATACTAATTTGTTGGCTTGGAATTTAGCTTTGTGTGCGTTTGCTGATATCTGTCAGGAAGAGAAACTTTTCAGGTAGGCATGAGGTTCAGTGTGATGAGCTAAGTGATGATTTAATAAATGTGATATGAAAGTTATATAATAAACCAAAAACTAAATGAATTCACTTTCGCTTTAGGAAACCACTGGCAAAAAAATAAAAAATCTTGTCTGAGAAGTGAGTACTCCTGATGTTGAGTATCATGAGTATTTTGGTAGACTGAATTGTTGTGTTAATCACTCATGAACAAATCCAATAATGAATTTGAGTTGTGAGGAACCTCTAATACAAGGTTGCCCAAATATTGTGACACAAAGGGTCAAACTGCTAATTTGCCAGGAAGCCAAGGGTATGATCCAGTATGCATGTATTTTATTCCAAGACACATTTATAAGTGCACATAACCAGAATATTTGCTTGTACTTGTGCCTTCCTTGATAAGAGACACACAGGTTTGGTTGAATTTGCCAGCAACTTAAGAACCTGTAGCTGATCTGCTTGTATTTTCCTGCTGTTAAAGCAAGAAAATGGCTTTCTGGGCTATATATTAGGACTCTGTGGGCTGAATTTTACTCTTGGGCTACTCTTCAGGCAACTTTGCTCTGATGTCATCTCATCCTTCCCCTAGCACCATGCTAGAGCTGATCTTTGTTTTCTTTTTTAGATCTTCTGTAGAACATCCCTGATTGATGTGTATCGTGCCTGGCTAATTGAATATCTCTAATAATGCTAACCCTGATAATGCTGCATTTGGTTGCTGACAATCCCTCAATGTTGCAGTATTCTCAGGGATAGCCTGATGACTCCAACATTGGGGGGGCGAAATTACATCAAAAATGTCTGCTGGCAAGTGCTAAGATTCAGCTCTAGAAAGGACTTTGAATGTGGTCCGCTGATTGGACACACAACTACACTCAACCATAAGCATCATAACGGAGACGTTTTGACCAGCTCAGTACCACGGGTTCCCCGTGTTACGCAGCATCACTCCTCCACACATCCATTGTGAGGATGCTCTAGTCCGAATGGTTGAGAAGATCAGGGCAAACCTGAGCCTACCACCATACACAGACATCTTTGACCACCCAACAGTATGTTTGTTGTCAAGGCCCCTATTGTGGGCCCACTTGTCCTGTCAAGATTTCTCTGTGATGTCGATGTGGTTTGAGCAATGGTCTGCAGCTGATGTCGGAAACCATTCTCTTATAACTGACCCAGTCATGTGTGGACCCAGCCGTGATTTGCCCACACTGCTCATGTGTCCTTCTGAACCAATTTCAAATGGGCCAGGGTAAATATGCAGCCAACCCTCACATCTGGGGCCAACAAAAGGATTCCATGTGCAGCTGTGGCCAAAAACAGACAATGACACGCATCACTGGCGACTGCCCTGTGACCAGATTTGATGGTAGTCTGAGGGACTGAACTTTGCTGCTGCCGTAAATTGACTTGGCAAACTCCACTTTTAATAAGAAGAATACCCTGCATCCCTCCCCCCCTTACTTGTGTGTTCCGATGTTTAGCTGTTCATATGTATGATGTTCTGCCAGTGTTTAGCTTGAGTTGTCCTTGCTTTTGCTTAAGTTCATCTTATTTCTGTCCACTTACTCTAGTAATTGTCTGCAACACATGAAGGGTTGGTATGTCTCCTTCCACTCTCCTTTATATTTAATAAGTTGAGCTCTTTACCTTTCCTTACAGACCTTGCTTCTAAGTATGTTATCCTTCAGGTATGCTTTACGCTCTCTGCCTTCAAATTCTAAAATAATGTGACACCCAAAAGTGAATTCAGCATTTTTTGGCTATTGTGCTGAATAGTTAGAATAACTTTTTTTTTTTTTTTGCTTGTTTTACAGGAGGTGCACCTCTTTAATATAGCACTTGTCTTTTCTGTGACTGTCTGCTACATAATTGCAAATAAGCTCTTCAAAACCAAACAATGCTGAAACTTCAAACTGTATCAAAGTGTAACTGCTGCCAGCACAATGTGTATTATCAGAGTTGTTGACAGTGTTTGGTGGTTGAAGCTTTTGTGCGGATTTCTTGCTTCTCCCCACAAATCAAATGGGCAGGATGATATTGTCAACATGAATAGAAAATTCCGTTGCATACTATGTTCTTTTGCAGTTCGTTACTCTCTCAGCATCACTGATAATATCTGAGAGTGATATGTCAAACATGTTCACCTCAAGAGGGCTGTTGAGGAAAGTCAGATAATGAGTTAAGGCTCATTTTTCAATGCTCTCCTATCAGGAATCAGGGCCTGGAGCCGAGCCAGGCTCTGGGCAACCTAATGAGCACAGCCTGTAGTAGGCCGGCTGATTGGCTCCACTGTCTTATTAGTGGGAAGAGTCTGCTCAAAGCATATGCAGACTTGGTTGCAATAGCTCCTGTGCCTGCTGGTTCCTAGCCTTGCTCTTACCTTGTTTCAGTCCTGGTGTTGCCATCGACCCAGCCTTGGTATGAGATCATTGTGGGCTCCTTCATAGGAAAATGAGTAAGTGTTATTAAAGGCAATTGAGTTTCTCCAAATCCATGGAACACCTACATGCTTTACAATTATCTGCTGTTTGAGTGTCTCCCAAAGATTCTTCACCTTTAACTTCACACAAACAATTTAAGCTGCTATTTCTTAAGTTTCCCAATGTCTCCTAATATGACTGGTCTTTTGAAAGCCATTTACTTAATGGTCACTCTTCAACACTAGGGCAAAATTCTGCCAGTTGCAAGTGTGGTTATCCAGTCCTCACTGTGCTACAAAAATGTATGGAAGGGATGGGTAGTTATATGCTGTAAAAAGTTTAAAGAGCTGATAGTATAATTCAGTGTTCATTAGCAGTTATTCTCATCCCTCAGTTGTCATTGGTTGTAAGGGAATGGGAGCCACAGGAAAGAAAGCACATGAGGAGTATTTAGGAATGCAGTTAATTTGGGACACTTGTAGAGGTTTGTGAAGTTTGCCCACCTGTTCATTCCAGTCCGCTTAATGGCTAATTGAATAGTTGCCATCTAAAATATGAGGAGAAATAATATATATCCCTTACCAACTCTATTGCTTACAAATTTTTAAGCGCTGCTCTAAGTTTGATTTTTTGTTTTTGCTTCTGCTGCTACACAGGACTAATATTTCGGAATAGGGTCCCATTATCTGTGATACCTTCACAACTAAGAATGGACCTTCATGTTGATCAACTGATTTGAAAGACTATTCAGTACTTTACACTTTTTTTTTTTACCATTCCCAAGATAGGGAATGTGGATTATTTTTTTTTTTAATTGGCGGTGAAGAAGAAATAGTGGTACATTTGTTGCAAGAGTAGGAAATGAGAAAAAGGCTCTTGTGGGAAGTAGCTTTGGGAAAGTGTAAAACTAATCTAGCCAAATTATGTCTACTTGTGGCTATATTATAACAGAAAAGGAAGGACTTAAAACTAAAAACCTAACTTACATGCCATCTATATGCTTGTTGGATAAACTTTGCAATCAGAAATTTTTATACAACTGTGCATATGTTTCTGGAAGTGTTAAGACTCAAAAGAAATAGTTCTTACTGAATATTGCACAAAGTTTAGATCTGTATATTGAAGAAACATTAATTGTTCTGGTCCATGAATGCTGTTTTTATTAAAATTTCATAGTCACATTGTCATTGAATTTATGTTTAATCAAGCATCACTGAGTTAAAATCAGATTAAATATAGGAATGTTTTATGCAGCTTTTTCATTCTGTGTTGTATGTGAAAGATTTAAATTTCCAGGAGGGGGAGGAGACAGAGGAAAGACTAATACTAGGGGTTTTGTGTACAAACAGTTTTCTGATTTGTTCTTATTGATAGTCTCTTCATGTATCATTTAAATTTCATTACAGAAACAGAAGAACTAATGTGTTTCAATTATTAATATATAGGCAAAAAGCTAGTAGTCTCATTTTTCCTGTATTTAAGAGCAGTCCGTAGTTAGAGATTTATTTTAGTGTCTTCTCCCAGTTTCTCCACCACCCTCCAATTCATTTGCATAAAGTTGTTCTAACTATAGAAGTTGTGCCGCTATAGTTAAAGAAACCTATTTTCAGGGTGTTACAAATCCTGTACTATAACATTCAAATACATTTTTGTGTTTGAGGTTAAAATCTGATGGGGCCACACTTTTCACTTCTATACAGGGAGGAGATCTGGAGAATAAGAAAGAAGTACTGTTTCTACTGAAGTTTCTCTGTGGTTACCACATGGTTTTTGGACTCTACAGGTCAGGAGGAGCAGTAGATGTGACTGAGAGAATGGCTACTATCCAGTGCTTTATCCCACTATAATTACTGGAGACTGACAGCATTATTTAAGCATGTGGTACATCTCATTATGTTATTTCCTTGTACAATCCTAAATAATTTCTCCCTCCATGGTATGTACATCCTTCAAAGATTGGTGTCCTGTGTCTCTGCACATTCTTTGTTCCCTTATCTCCACACTTTATATAATTAGCTCTTTTAGTATTTCATCATAATCTTGCTCTTTATTTTCATCTGAACTTCTCTACTGTACTTGTAGTAAATAATTCTGTATGGGAGGGGAGATGGATTTTATTTCCTGTGGAAAGTAGTCATGCCACAATTACGTTAATAGAAAATCAACGATAATAAGGAAGTGAAAATGTTTTGATTTAAAAAACAAAAATGAGGAAGGTACAAATTGTGTCTGTCATTTAAGCTTTCAAATAAAAATTGCTTATAAATAGACCTAGGTGTACATTTCTTATTGAGTAGGTGTAAGTTTGGCTCATCTTTAAGAGCAGTCCTTTAAACAGACTGTTAGAAAATGTTCAGTCAATGCTCAGTCTTTATTAAAGTATAAAGTGTGGAACATATGGTTTGGATGAGTGGAATCATCTGCTGTTAAGGGGTTAGACAAAGAACACAGATGAATGTTAGAGGCATGTATAGGTGTACTGAATCTCCAGAATTTTCAGTGCACCAGTAACATTAAAGGTGTGAGAGAGAATACAAATTCAAACAAAACAAGCAAAAAAAAACCTTGATGACTTAGAAGTAGATAAGTTGCATGGAGGACATCATTAAATTCCCAGTGTCATCTGCAGAATGAGAAAACTGAATTAGAATCTCAGATTGAACAGCTGTTTCTGCTGTTCTTTATCATTAAATAGAACATGTTAAGTCATAGCACTAGCAGTGAAGTAAACTATTGTAAATAAATGACCACATGAGCAAAAGCAGATCTCTTATGTCAATGGGAGATAATTGAGGAGTAGCTTCATACATAAAATATGAACGTACTGTTGTGTTTAGTAATCTTAACAGAGTTATTATTAAAACTAACAATCCATGTTTCCATAAAATATAAACATTTCACAAAGTATTCATTAACCAACAAAACAAAATGATTTACCCACTCTGAACCTAGAACCTTTGTAGAAGTGGGGGGGGCCAAATCCCAAGTGGATTCCTATGCCCCTTCTCCCCTAACCCTGCACTCCCTTGTGGCCCCAGCCCCCTGCACCCTCTAGTCACCTGGTCCAGCCAGTCTCCTACCTCCAGCAGCTGCATGTAGTTCACCAGGAATGAGCTGCACAGCCCATCATCTTTCTGCTCTTCCCACCAGTCACCTGCAGCACCATGATCAGCTTCCCTCACTGCAAAACACAGCCCCTTCCAGCGTTGCTCTGTGCCTGCCTGAGACTTGCAGTTTGTGGGTGTGTGATGGGGCCTCTGCCCCACACTGGCCCATAAGGGGTTAATAGAGCCCTAGGGAAGCTGTGCAGGAGGCAGCCAATTAGGGTTGGGGAGCTGAGCCACTTCAATCACTCCCTGGAGCTTGAGGAAGGAGGAGGACTGGCTGCCTCGCAGGCTGAAGGCTGCAAGCACCTGGGACAGAGCAGTGTGTAGCAGAAGTGACTGTGGCAAGATGCCACCCTAGGATGGTGCACTGGCATACCGAGCTAATCCCCAGGACAGCCAGCAGGAGGTACCACAGTGGTGAGTCGCACCCTGTCACAAGGGGCAATGCCCACTCTGCCCTCCAAATTACGCTCACGTTAAAAAGTGGGGGGCCCTGGCTTCCCTTGTTCTGGCACCAGTGACTGAAAGTACAATATTTACTGAGAGGGGAAAACTGCACCAGTTCCACAGACAGCCTGTTATTTCTCTCAAAGAAAGTGACAGAATATCCCTTGAATCAAATTTAGTTGTTTCCTTCAGTTAAGATTTATTAATGCACCATTCTGTTAGCTTAAGTGGATTTTAGTATGTGTTTGCCATGTTTTTCCCCAGGAAGTTTTCCAGTTAGGCTGAGCTTCCTCTTTGATCACAACGCTTGATCTTAGATTATAAACTCCTGGGGTTAGACAGGGGCTTTCCATTTTGAGTGTTTGATACAGTGCCTCGCACAATAAAGTCCTGACCAGGCCTCTAGCTAATATTGCCTTACAAATATTTAATAGTATTGTTGAAAGTTAGTGTACAAATTAGGTCAACTTTAAGACTTAGGATTTTTGTAGCTCTTTTTTAGGATTTTTTGGTAAATCTATGCAAATCACTTGAAATACAGTAAGTTTTTAATTACAAATGAAGAGTCTGTAGCCTTTACGCTAAAGCTGGGAAAACTTTCGGTGGGCTAGGGGGAATGAATACTTTCTCCTGCTGCTGCCGCCTTCATATATCTTACAGTTCTCTGTTTTTATACTGCACTTATCAGTGTGTTATCTGAATGTCAGATACTTCCATGCAGTGGTGGATTAAGAATGGATGGAACATAACTAAAATGCCTCCACCAAACCCAAGGGACTCCCACAAGAGATTACAGTTTTGCAAAAGTGCTTGTGGTGCTCCCCCTGCCCATGCTTCTTCCTGCTCCCCAGCCCCCATGGAAAATGTCCTCTGGGAAATCAACCAAAATATGCAGGTTTGGGGAGGTGGAACCCCTGGTCTACTTTGTGTCTGTCTGTCTTTGACCTCTCCATCCCCATCTACAAAGAAACTTTGTAATTTGAAATTCATGAGGCCCCAGTTCTCTGTTCTGGTGCAATCATGAACACCAGAGCAAAGTGGGTATAAAATGCTGCCAGATCAGAATGGCAGGATTTAACACCCACTTTGCACCGATATAAATGATGGCCCAGTACAGGGCAATGGAAGAAGAGCCCCATGAAATTTCCACTCCTTTATGTGGTCGATTTCTCCACAGGGCAACAATGGGTTGAAATATTTAAAATCCTCTGTAAGCTCTCTTTTCAACAGGAGTGTGAGAACTTGTGGATAGTTCTTACTTTACTAATTTTACCACCACCAGAAATGATCCTCCACCAAACCAGTCAAAGTGCGACCTATGTTTACTGTTTAATTGTACAGCAATAACAGCTATAAATACAAAACCAATAATTTATCCCATTGATTGTCAGAAACTAAAAATACAGTAAACTTGTTTGGTTTAAAGGCAGATTGTCAGATTTAATCTACAATAAGGTGTCTTTGGAACAAAGAGGACTTAATCAGATGTCTACATGATGATTATTTTTAAGTGTAGGACTGCAAGCCAGAACCTCCTGATTGCTAATCTGAGTTCTGATACTGACTTGCTCTATGGCCGTCGGGCAAGTCACTTTTAACTTTGCCTAGTTTTCCCAGTCTTTTATCTGGGTACCGAGGATTCATTACTTAATGCTTCGAAGTGGCCTATGCTCCAATTAAAAACCTCTGGCTGGCCCATGCCAGCTGACTCAGGTTCACAGGGCTCAAGCTAAGGGGCTGTTAAATTGCAGTGTAGGTGTTCAGACTCAAGCTGGAGCCCAGTTCCCAGATACCATTTATGTAATTTTCATCATTTTATCCCCTTTGGACCTTGGCCTCACTTAGAAAAACATGAGTATTGTTAATGTTAGTTAACAAGTGTAAATTAACATGTTAAAATCCTAGTGGAGGTAAGGCAGTTGTGGTTTTAACACCTGTTAGGTGGTTGAGGTAAACTTCAGACTCTCTCCTTAGGAATTACCTTGAGCTGCTACACATTTAAAACTACAACTGTATTGTGTATGCTAGAATTTTAATGTGTTATCACACATTCTTCCTAATATAGACATAGCCATAGTCCGAGTCCAATCACTTAAACATGTGCCTAACTTTATTCCTGGGTGTATTCCAAATGCAGTCTATTTAGCCATGTAAGAGGCTCCATTTTTTATGGCTAAAATTAGGCATGTGCTTGTGTGTTCACAGAAGTGGAACCCTAGTTTCTCTTGCTAAAAAACACCCTTGTAGACATCAGCAGGGGAGCAGGAAAGCCTTATAAAATATTTTCAAAAGAATCCAGAAAAAAGTCAAGCTGCTGTATCAAACTGCAATTTAGGAAAAAACCCTACTTCCTTACATAGTTTGTTCCTCTATAGAGGAACAATTGGCTCAAATATTTAGACTCATTCATAAGCTCTCTTTTCAATAAGAGCGAGGAAAACTTGTGGATATTTCTTCTGTAACTAATTTTAATAACCCTAGAAATAGTCTTGCACAAAACCAGTCTGTGCAAGATACTTATACAGCCATAGTAATCATAACAAATATAAAGTATGGGCTTACCCCAGAGGAGGGGGAAAGCTAAAAATAATACAAATATCCAATAAGTTATTTGATTTAACAAGAAACTGTCAGATCAAAGAGTGTTAGCCCAAAATTTAGGCTTTGGAAAAAAAAACCACACACTTTAATGGGGTAGGACTCACCCAGCGGCACCTCCTGCTGGCTGTCTAGGAATTAGCTCTTTTTACCAGCTCTGGAGCGCCTTCTGCTGGTGTCTTGCCATTGCTGGCCCCCCTGTGTCTGTCCCAGACCCTCCAGGCAATACCCCACAGATCTGGGTCTCCCCAGCTTGCCTCAGCCTATGGGCTATTGCCAGTCACCATCTAGCCCCCTTTCACTGGGGCCAACTGCAGTCTGTATAAGCCAGTCATCATAGGCAAGGGGGGTTTGGACCTCCTGTCTCCACCTACCCTTGGGCTGCCCAGTTGCAACCCCAGTACCTATTTGGTCTTCTACTAGGCCTGAAGCCAGGGGGTGGGTTTCCAGGCCAGAGCTCCCTACCTCCTCTGGCCTTCCCCCAGCCCTGCTCCATCTTCGTACTTTGGTATGCTCCTAGCAGGCAGACAGGTCTGTCCCTCCCTCTCAACAAGCAAGAGAGAGTATCTCTGTGCTTCTGGCCCACCGCCCTCTTATAAGGGCCAACTGGGCCCTGATTAAGCCAGTCGCGGCCTGATTGGGGCATGGCCCCCAACTGAGGCTGCTTCTCCCAATCACCCCTGCTTTTCATTCCCTGTCAAAGCCCTCTCCCCGGGCTGTTTTAAGTCTTTTAAGGCAGGAGCAGGTGACCACCCGGCTATATTAACCTAAAACAAATAGAAATGTTTCTTTGAAATTGATAGATTAGAACATCGTGCAAATGCATAAAAATCTGAAAATAAAACTGGCTCGTTTCTTTGGATTGTCCAGCCCAGGAGAAATTCAGGAAGTAAAAACACAGCAGAAATAGTCAAATAGTAAATGAGTTTTCAAATGTATTTGTTTTAATAATATGAAGTGTTGTATGCAACATGGGCAGGGCTTTTTAATATACCAGTACTTTCTAACCGCACACTGGCATTAATTAAAAATACGTTTATTCCCTTATTAATGTACAAATTTCTATAAACTTGAGTGTTAAATACAAACTATGCTTCTTTTCTTCTCTACACCTCCAT